ATCTAACTTTGGGGCGTCGCGTTTTCTATCACTCTTTTTCGGCTGCCGGTCCGGTCCGGCGCTAGCGCTCGACGCGTCGCCGGACGCGTCGCGCTCTGTCCTGCTGCTCTCGCGCCGACTCGCACGACGACCTCAACCTGAGCACGCAGTCTACGCAACGACTCGGACCTGGCCGTACGCACTCAACACCGAGTGCACCGAGGGGCGCGAGGCCACGCCACGCTTTGGCAGTCGAAGCGCGCCAACGCGCGACACGCCGCATCTGTCCGGCCGGTACGTCTGCGCCCCAGCTCGACCCTGGCGTGCTCGACCCAGCGTTTTCAACCTACGAACGGCCTTCGCAGCCGACACACACCGTATGTACACACTCCGTGCACACTTCGTGCATGCTTGCTACACTCTCGCCCTCACACACGACGTCTCGCTAGTGACTCCTTCCTGACCTCGCCCATCCTCGCCCAGCCCTCCGCGTGGCTTCGGATCGTTACCGAACCCTGCGCAGGCTATGCTCGAAATGGACGCAAGTTGTCCGAGCCGATTCCGCTCCCGGGACGTGGCGTGGCGCGATGTTCTGTCCGACCGGTACGTCCACGCCCAACTTCGACTCCACTCTTCCACCCTACAACCGACTCAATCAGACCGCTATGTATGGGCCGTGCCGCGTTATACACGCCTGACAACGTCGGCGCATGGACTCTGCGTCGACCGTTGTGCGGCTTGCACGCACAATGGCGGTGCGCCCAACCTCCGAAACAGTGGCGCATGGCGCATCCGCGCCATGTTCAGTTACAGCGCCATACATCGCGCGAGCCGCGACGATTCAGTGAGTTTTGTTTATGCTACTCCCTGTGTATCTACTGATCTCGCCCATTTCCTTACAGAGAGTGCCCGCCCTCCGTCCGCGCAGACGTGCTGCGCCGCTTCCTGCGCCGTCGCTCTGTATGGGGACCGGAAACCTTGCTGTATGAAGATGAGATGCGCGAGGTGTGGGATGGAGAGTGGGATGTCGGGAGGGCTAGGTTCGAGGAGAGATGGTGGGATGGTGCCGAAAGAAAAGCAAGGATTCGGAAGGAAGCGAGGATGGGCCACGCCAGGGGTGGACGCGCACCGTGATGACCACGCAGTATGAGAAGCGAGGATGAGGAGACTATCGCTTGAACAATGTATCTCATTAGCTACCTATGCCTGGCTAAAGGATGCAGATCGGGCACAAATCGTCGTTACATTCATAACCATCTTCGAGGCAAAAGGTACATAACTCGTCGCCACACTTCTCCTCAACATCAGCCTCCATACTCGCAACCCACTCTGCCTCTGCCTCTGCGAAGTTGCGCCCAGCGAGGTACTTCTTCCAGGTACTGGCGAGCCGGGTGCTCGTCACCAGCGCAATGCCAGCTTGGGCGAACGGGGGAACATCGTCCTTCTTATCGGGACTCCAATCGAGTAGGCTCGTACCGTGATCGTGCTCAGGCATCCATGCGATCATGGTGTTAGGTGCTTGCAGGACCTTGACACCGTAGATCGCCTGGTAGAAGCTACCTCCAGCCATGCCTTCGCGGCGCGAAGTCGTCCACGAGAAAGCCCACTTCTGGCCTTGCTTCTCCCGGTGAATCGCCCTGCCAGCAGAGTGAGCATGGGGTTCAGCAAGAGTAGGGGTATACAGTAGGTACTTACCGAGCGTAGTTGCAACCGGCGACACCTGAAGGCGGTGCCAGTTCGGCGTTGTCGAACTCGACGCACTCACTACCCCATTCTGCCATATAGATGCCTCGAGCCTTCTGAGCCTTCTCCCCGTCGCCATCCATCCGGCACATCTGATTCTCGACCAGATAAGCCTCGAAAGGCCCCAGCACCTCATCAGGAAGATGCGACTTAAGGAGGTTCCAAAAGAGTGCAAAGACGGATGAGAGTCGGAAGTTGTGCTCTTTGATGAACTCTGCTGTATGCCGCGACGACCGCAGATTCTTGGACCAGTGAAACGCGGGGTGGCTCCGTCGCGCGTTGGCGCGCTTCGACTGCCAAAGCGTGGCGTGGCCTCGCGCCCCTCGGTGCACTCGGTGTTGAGTGCGTACGGCCAGGTCCGAGTCGTTGCGTAGACTGCGTGCTCAGGTTGAGGTCGTCGTGCGAGTCGGCGCGAGAGCAGCAGGACAGAGCGCGACGCGTCCGGCGACGCGTCGAGCGCTAGCGCCGGACCGGACCGGCAGCCGAAAAAGAGTGATAGAAAACGCGACGCCCCAAAGTTAGATAGATTTTTCGTCGAGCAACATTTAAATAGAATGAAGACCACGCATTGATAGAGAGACGGCTTCATAAGTTTGTGATAGAATTGCGTAAGTGCGATAGATACGGTGAGTAACTTTGTGATAGAATGCATTTATTTTTGCCTCAAATGGTACGCCATAGAGCAGGAGGAAGGAGCATCATCAGTGTGGCTCGTTCTCGTACCATGTGAGGAAAGGAGATGAGTTCCGGGCGGAGAGACGCTAGGAGTATTTCACCAGCGAATGGAGCATTGGTACGATGATGGTCCAAGATCTTGCACCGTTTGTTGGATCAGCTCGGATCATGATGCTTAAGTTGGATGATGGCGATTCGACGTACGGAGGCTCTTGTGACGCCGCCTGACGCTCCGGCGATTCAGTCTAGATACGTCCTGCATATGCGAAGTCCTCTTGGAGGCGAAGTCGCTGCCATGAAGAAGACATCAGTAAAGAGATAGACTCACTGGCAGCAGTTGCAATCAGGTCCATCGCCAGCGTATACGAGGCAGTCTTGATCTCATATTGCTAGTACCAGTGGGTACTGTACTGGCTGTACTGCCGCTGTTAGCGGGATCATCGTTGCACCTCACGCCAGTTACGGTGGTGAGTAGACGGATCTGTGAAGCGTCAGTTGTAAAAGTGCATAGCACGCATGTCTATTGCACCACAGAGAGTAGCGCCAGCAAATATCGGTCCAAGTCGACGGAGGATATACCGGGTTAGTGAACTCATAGCACTGCCAAAGCCCTCAGAGACACCAGTAAGCCTAGCAGCTGTCGAACTTACCCAGAAACAACCTGTGTTGCGCCCACCGCTCTCGTCACGGATCATGGAGAAGAGGACGCGGCTTCGGCTGGTAGCGAGGGTGAACGTCAGCCATGGAAAACTCTTCGAGCAAATACTGACCACAGCGAGAGACTTGCAAGGAGTGGGCCGACCAACTCCACTCGACACACGGGGCTCGCTGTTCGCATGAGTTGAGGTACGCATCGGCGCCTTTCGTGAGCGACGCGAGGCAGTGATTCGGTTGATTGTGCCCAGACTCCCATATCCAGAAGACAGTGTCTCGCGTAGACAGTTCGAGATGCGTGTCGTTATGCGTATGCTCCGGAAGACGTAGGGAACGCGCTCAGGATATGCGACTACGATACTGGTTTCTTCGCGTGCGATCCGGGCCTGTTGTCACTGGAACGTTCGCTGAGACGCAGTCAAAGACAGAGTATGAGTACTCGCTAGCCACTTATTCATCCACACGCTGCGTTGCTCCAGAATCCCGGATGCTGTCATTCGGCACTGAGCATACCTGGACTTGATACGGTCGCTATATGCGCCCTGAGAGAGTGAGCGAGGGTATTCAGGCGCTTTCATGACCCGTCAACAAGGCTGAGCGAGATACGCCGCAATGTGGAGCCTCCAGAGAAGAGACAAGCGCGATGTACGTAGCTGAGCCTGAGCCCTACGTAGGAGTCATAGGCGCAGGAGCTGAAATTTGGCTGAGGTCGTCTATGGGAGGTGATTCGAGCCCGGGCAGCACGTCCTGCGCTTGTCGTAATCTAAGATAGTGCAGAAAAATGCTGACGCTACTTAGGAGGAAGAGGGGCCGTCGGCATTCCCTGTTCAGAGAACGCGGGCGCATTAGCCATCACGTGAGCGTTTCTCGACGCGTGGGTTGGCCTGAGCCTCAGCCTCAGCCCTTCCTCACCCCACCTTACATCCTTCGTCGCGCGACTGCACAACACTCCCCATCGGGACTGCTACGACGGACCGTCTACTCAGACCTCATGCCCATCGTACAATTTGCGCTGTTCTCATCTCTCGTCCAACTGGCATTCTGGCTCGCGCACACGGACTTCAGGATCGATGTGCTCTCTGACAACGCCGTAACGACCCATGGCCTGTATGCGGACGGTCGATCCGTCAAGGATTGCGAGTCTGGCGCTGAAATAGCGCTCGGATGTAAGCTCACAGTCGGTGGCGAGCCGTTCTTGAAGCTTGAAGCTTGAAGGCTGATAAGTGAGTGGCGTCGAACTGTACAGCTGTACCCCTCGAGCGGACGCGTGACCTGTGTTTGGCAGACCACCAGCTCATTCAGCATTGGTGACTGGCGTGTTCAAGAACTACAACACCGTCGAACACTTAAAAGCAGCAGACAAGACCGCGCTATTTGCCCAAGTGACGGACGAGGTATGTGTTTGTTCCGCTCTGAATCTCTCCCGCTGCCCATGGACCTACGCGCATATGCGGTGTATGTGGGACTGTACTGCGTCTTCAGTAGATGCGTCATTCAAGGAGTTGTCGATGAGCCCGATCTCCTGGCTTTCCGGTTAGCAGGATGGCGATGAGCGTTAGGATCCTTGCTCTCGTGTCTGAACGTACCGAAATACTGCCATGAATTAGTATCAGTTACAATGTCGCAGTACTGCTATTGTCACCAGGCCACCAAGGCTGCGCGAGCATTGCCAGAGAGACTACAGACCTCGTACTCCTCGAGTCTTCTGCCGCGGTACGGCGTCCGCGACCGTGATGGCGCAACTTGAACACCGATTCTTACCGTTTGCCTGCTCGGGTGAGACAGTGTCAATGCTGGTGATGCTCCCTCGGTTCCATAGCTGACAGGTTGGCGATGGGCTCGCTGTATGCTAGCTTCGCGAGAGGGTCTACGACCGGTCGACTGGCGCACGTCATTTGACACCGGCGCGGCAATGTTTTGCCGCTTCTGCGAGTATTGAAGGGAATGACAGTCTTCGCCCCTTCGGTATCTCTCTCTTTCAGCACCCTTCTTCGTGCACCCTGTGGCACGCTGCTTCAATAACCCCTGGATGTGTATGATTCAGTGGCCTCACATGTGCGCGTTCAACCAACGATCTCAGCCTGACAACCATTCTCCATAGATCTGGAAGACCACAATGGTGGACCGCTCGACGGCGCAGCTCAGCCGCTTTCTACTCATCACCTTCGCAGATCTCAAGAAGTACAAGTACTATTACTGGTTCGCCTTCCCCACCTTCGTAGCCAAGCCGGCATGGGAAATCCAGGAAGACTGGAAACTCGCGTTTGAAGAGTTCAGCGACTCCTTCGTACGTCATCTGTTCATCTACTCCATTTCTCTAGCACGTATTGACGAACCACGTATCCAACTGCCCGCGATTAAAGCGACACAACTAGCTTCTCCACGAGCTTTCTTCCTCGTACGGCCGAAGGCAGGCAGCGACGAGCCCGAGATCGCCCCGGTGGAAGAGTACGACCAATTCTTCGCCAACATCGCCCCCGAGCAGCGCACCATCGCCTTCCTCGACCCTCCGCGATGCCCTCCAACCCCAGCTGGCCACTCCGCAACCTCCTGATCTACCTCCATACCCTCCACCTCGCGCCGTCGTACCGCATCCTATGCTGGCGTGACTCCGAGCGCCCCTCTAGCGCCCCGTTCAAGAGCCGCGTCGGCGTCGTCTCCCAGGGCACCGGCGACGTCGCGGCGAAGGCGGAGAAGCCGGCGGCGGTGGGCTGGGAGAAGAACATCCAAGGTACTGTAAGCTGGGTCCGCGCGTGGCCGACTTGGCGCCAATGATGGACCCGACCAGGGGAGCTATCCACTCAGATGCGGGGTAGGTTGTATGCTCACGCGTGTATGCGAAAAGCTCGCGGACCAGGCTGTGGACCTGAAGCTCGTGTGTGGCGCATTCTGCCTGCGCTTGACCTCGGGAAGGTTGCGAACACGCGGTGTCTCCTCTTGGGTGGCACGCTCGGGTGCTATGTGGCGCGTACGTTGATGATGCGATTTCTATCATTACTCTTTGGTTTCATGCTGACACCGGCGTTTGTGCGACAGGGCTGGGGTGTTCGCACCATCACCTTCGTGGACTCCGCTCGCCAGCCGCTGTTCGAGTTCGGGGACTGTCTGGACGGCGCAAAGCCCAAGGCGGCGTGCGCCGCCGAGCGGCTCAAGAAGATCTTCCCGGCGTCGTACGTGCAACCCTGTCCATCTGTTCGTCTTGTCGAGTCTCACCCTACGCCCGCGACAGAACTCCTCCGGCCACAACCTAAGTATCCCGATGCCGGGCCACCCGATCCCACCCGCGTCCGTCGAGCAGGCGAAGAAGGACGTGGCCGCGCTCGAGAAGCTCGTGAACGAGCACAACGTCGTCTTCCTGCTCATGGACTCGCGCGAGAGCAGGCGGCTCCCGACCTTGATGGGCGCGGCCAAGGGCAAGGTCGTCCTGAACGCCGCGCTCGGGTTCGACACCTTCCTCGTCATGTGCTACGGCGTCTGTGCGACGCTCGCGAAGGGGAACCGCCTTGGGTGCTACTACTGCAACGATATCGTCGCGCCTGCGGACGCGCGTGCTTGGCGGCTGTATGCTCGAATAAACCCGCTGACCTCCTTGTATGCAGTCGTTGACTGACAGGACGCTCGACCAGATGTGTACCGTCACTAGGCCTGGCCTGGCATCGATCGTCATTTCAACCGCGGTAAAGGTGCTCGTCTCGCTCCTGCAGCACCCTGACGGGTACGTTCGAGCGCTACAGCCGTGATCTCCTCTCATCGCTCGGGCTTTCAGCATAACGCGCCCGCCCCTCCGCCACAGAACCAAGGCGGCGAACCCATGCTGGGCGTCGTCCCACACCAGCTCTGCGGCTTCCTCACGCAGTTCCGGAACATGCCCATCACAGGCGTCACCTACAATAGGTGCACAGGGTGGACACTACCGGAGCGCTTGTGAGGACACGCGAGAGGCGGTATGCGTGAACTGAGCCCGCCTAGCTTCTGTCTTCTAGTCTAACGATTGCGGTGGCCTAAAACCGCTTCTCTCTCGTTCGTATGCTGCCTCGATGAGCAGGAGCTTGTAAACGCTGGGGAAGGCTGGCGAAGTGGCACGGTCGCGCATTCAGAGCTCGATGTTGGGAGTGAGGGATGGTACGTACGCAGCATGTATAGGTTGTGTGTAGCGACCGTCATTTTGACCAGGTGCATTCGCGATGGTTCAATAACAGTCGCTCGCACCGGCGCCTGGCCGTTTCTCAGTCTGGATTCTGCGGTGAGTACCAGACAATGCATATAATCTGATGACGCACCGGAGAGATAACTGCAACGCATGCGCGTGTAAAACGAGCACCGTCGTATAAGTCCCCACCCGCAAGTAGTAGACGAGTTGTCTGCCTTGCAGATGAGTCGGCCGCCGACGACCCGTCGGGAGGTTCGCGAGGCATAAGGGACGAACGTATGCGCTTGTATGCCATGGAAGTTGAGAGACCGAGCTCACCTAATGACTTAAGGCAGGCAGCCGCAGACTAAGCGTACTAGTATGTGCAGGGACACGAGGCTGACAACGAGAGCTGGAAGCAATCTTACACCCCCTTGCAGGTCAGATGTTCGCCGACCGAATGCCCGGGACGCTCAAGGGTTATACGAGAGATCGACTCCGAGTCGTCTCGGCGAGATGGCTGCGATAAATGACACACTTTCTCATTGTTCGATTCTGTAAGTCCTCGACAGATTGCGAGCACCACTGCAAACGAACTTGCCCCTAAAGCAGTATAATTCAGACGTTAGTAACGCGGATATGACGGTCATGAAGATGCGACCGTCAGTACGTACCGCACAATCGCTGATTACCACAAGCCTGAGACCCGAACAGTTGTCAAGCACTGACGAGGTGCATCCTACGTCCTACGGCCGTCATGGGGTCTTTATTGAAGGACTCAGACGGTTACACTGCGGAGTACACGGCGTCCGTAGTAAGGCACGTAGCCAGCGCGAGCACACCGAGTGCTCACAGCCTTGCGCGCCGACGAGTTAGACACGAATCATCCGGCCGCGGATCTCACGAAAAGTCATAGCAAGCTCTGTAAGCGCTGACGCCCAGAGACTACACAGCGTCAAGAACCTTTCGCGCGCCGCCTCCAGTGCAAGTCGCCACACTGCCTGTCGACACCCGCCACGGCGTGCGCGTGAGGGCGCCAGCCTTGGGACTGCCGTCGGCCGTGGACACCACCCTCTTATGCTGGTAGCCTATCTCACTGAACTCGGCCGGCCAGCCAGGTGCACGCGACGCATCACTCGGCGGTCTCCCCTCTGCCTAGCTGGCCCATCTCACGGTCAGCAGTGCTCTGCAGGACTTGAAGCTCTTGGGCTCCCACACTGGACGAAGGGCGTAGGATCAATGCTGGCTGTAGCAACAGTCGTATGTCTGCATCTGCATGTCATCCCCGTCTCCGCGTACTCTCTGACTATTTCTTCCTAAACTTACTAGATGACACCTCCCTGCGCGGCCGCCAACTGGCAGCGATCTGCGCCCTCGCCGACCAGCCTGTCGAGTGCACGCATCGCTCGCGAGTCTGCCCTGTCGTCTCGGCGTCACAAGTTGCTCGCTTGCTCGCTTTCATGGAAGATTACGGTATTACATGTCGTATGTCCCCACGTCCTTGTGTCCATACCCTGAGACGTCCATGATTCTTAGGATCGGGTTCCTTCGCTCGATGAATGGCTCGAGCATACGCAATAAGACAGCGGCCAGCGCCGGAACGGAGGATGGGGCCCGAGACGCGTTGGACGACTAGATTGTAGAAGGGGTGTGTAAGAATCTGCACACTGTATACATATATATGAGACCTGGGAAGAGCTGACTATGGAGCTTTTCGGCCTTTGCATGTTGGTCAGATCTTCAGACTGCAGGGTACTGTGGCCTTCCGAGTCAGGGGAACGGGTATCGCGAAAGGGCGGGTACGCATGCAATGAGAAGTGGCCGATGTCGTCGTCGGCGCTGCGGGCGGGTGGCGGGCCAGTAAGCAAGAGAGTACAAGCACAGGCTACTTAGATATGTTTGGGAGCGGACGCGAGCGAGGGCGAGGGCGGGACGGATGCGACGTGACATCCTGACTGACAGAGTGATCCTGCGCCGCCGCCACAGGCGCGCTAAGCGCTTCTCTCCTCCGTTTGTCCATCTCCAATCCATCTCACCCACGCATGCTCTGCAGGACTCCAAGCTCGGAGTCGTAGACTTCCACTGTGAGCGTGTAAGAATGACAGCTTTGGTGCTGAACCTGCGTGTGCGAATCCGTACGTTCCGCCTACGCTCTTACACTCACTCTTTCTCCTACTAGTAGATGACCGCGACGACAACGACACTCCCCTCCGTCGCTGGCAGCGAACCGCTGAACTGCGTCCTCCCTAACCAGCCTGTCGAGCGGACACGTCATTTTCCCTCCGGTTATCGCCACCACTCTACTTCATCGTGGCTACGCAACGCATGCCTTTCCGAGCTTTCTGGGACGATGTACGGTACCGACACTGGAATGCGCGAACCCTGCTGTCCGTACCCTGTTACACTCGTGCTTCTCAGTCCAGACTTGATGGACTACGTACAGTCTCTCTGCCTGAGCTGTAAGCGTGGTACGACCTTGAGGCCCCTACCCACTGGACAGAAGCCGAAGGAGAATTGCTGGAACAGGCTACGTGTCCTATCAGACATACCGGAGGTAAGTTGTTCATTGATGAGTTAATTCAACTTGTGTCGAATGATTCACCGTCGCTCAGTAAAAGAAAATGGTTCGGTCTTTGCGTGCAGGGACATCACTCGTTCGTCGCCGCTCTTCTCACTGTTAGGTCCTCCGGTCCACGCAAGCGGCAAGGGGCATGGAAACGACGTCGGCATTAGCAGTGGTACGTCCGCCCGTCCCAAGACCCGTATGCGACCTCCTAACGCTCGTTGTATGTATTTCAATCAAGTAGCGCGCTCTCGCTCACTCGTCGGCCAGCCGCGTACTGTAGCCTTTCAATTTCGATCCAAGCGCAGTACGAACTTGCGGCTTGCCAACGCTGAGGAGGCGGACGGACATGAGTATGATCCACCCGTGACGCAACGTGCGTTTCGCGCTGGCTCTTCTGGGGTAAGGCTGTACTCTACAGATGCACCACGAACAGGTCATCATCTCCCGCGCGACTGCGGGCTCGCACCCTCGATGTCTGTTCTCGCCAGCTGATCAGGGCGCAAGCGTCTTGGCGTACTCTCGAACGGATGCCATCTAGTGGAGGACCGCACGTCCCATACATTGCTCGTGCTCCGATCCAAAGTACGACGGTCCTCCCTCAACAGCTGACCATCCCTCGTGCAGAGTGGGTGAGATCATAACGGTCGAGTCTGGTCTACGCAGCCTGGTGAGTTTCGTGACGCTGTCTTCTAGACCACCTCTCACTCGGAGGCGGTGTTCAGGATTTCTGCTAAGACTGGACGGTTTGAATGTTCGATTGGTGCTGTTCGTCAGTATCGCCGACAAAGGGCGTAGAAACCCAATGCACTGATGCGTTCGTATGCGATGAACCGCCAGCTGAGGCCCAGCGATGATGGTATCTGTACGCATTCAATCCACTTGGGTCACCCGTTGGCTGACGACGAATGAGGTGCGCGCGATAGAGAGGATTCGTCATGCTTCTATTACAGCGAAGATGATGCGTAGACGGACGGAACTCGACGCTCGCTCGAGGATGACACCGGATGCATGGTTCGTGCCATTTGGTTCTCATGGCACGGTTATACACTTACGAACGTCAACTCCCGCTCACCGGACAGCCTGGCGTGCCCGTGGTTGTTTCGACCACTGAGCGTCGTGGCGGATATCCGATCGAACATGCTTCTGAGCTGGAGACGTGTATGTTCGTGTATAGCGCTGCCAATCCGTGTCCCGAGTCCACGCACTCCGCCCGCCGATGATGCAGGTGTAAACGCCTCTTGCGATCACGCCCTCGGTCCCACTCTGATGCGCTGCGAAAGCGGCAATTATGGAGGGCTAGATACAGTACGCTCGTGCAGTGGGAGAGACGTCCGAAGAAAAAGGGATGCGGTCCATTAGTCAGCCAATCGAGTTGCCGTAGTGTGAGGCACTCTATTTCCGAGAGGAAGCGTAAGGGAATGTGGATTGCCCAGGCGTATATGAATGGTTTCGCGGGGTCGTCCACCAGTTCCAGTTCCTTGAAGCCACCATGGAAGTACGGTCTGTTTCGCTCCGGAACGAGCATACGTGCATATCCCTCGAGGGATTTCTTGCGCGTGAAGACGCGGGGCCTACTAGTATTTGCTGAAGGGAAGAGGCGGCGTGCAGTGTGGTACCAAGCATGGCAAACAAGGCAACACCGTGAAGTGCCGGAAGATCATTCCAGAGAACTTCCAGAATATGCTCGATGACTTAGTGCGGGAGACGTGGACAAGTGTCGCTGCATGCGTTGACGAGGATGCTCGTCATGAACCCTTCCGAACACTGCGAAAGGCAACACGCGTACCTCCGGTATGTGGATGGCCGGAAGTCGATCTCGTTGTTCAACTGGATGCCAGTCTTCACCGGCACTGTCGAGCCCGTTGTGGAAGCCTTCCTGGGGGAGGGCCTAGTCATGTAAGATTGTTATCCATCGAGGCCGGCTCAGACATACCGCTAGCTCGCACGAAACACCTTCGTCCATTCCTTCATACGATGTCGCCACACTTGCAGGGAGAAGAGGCTCGTACCCCCTTTGCAGGGCAGAGATCAGCGTATGTAAGTGGTAAAAGATTACACACTGTACGAGCCTCACCTGGAGTTTGATATCTTGCCGATGCAGGCATTGGGCCTGGGACAACGAGCACAATTGTGTGACGGAGATTTCGTGGCAGCTCGGGGAATGCTAGGATAGGCCCGTTGTACGCGGGACCAGATGCAAATGCAACGCTGCGGCCCGATCAGGAAAGTGTCACCGCGTCTAACTTGTCCTAACCCGTCTAGCCCACCTAACTTGTGCCTAATTCACCTCACTGTCTAACGCATTTCGGTCTCTGCGGTGAATTACAAACCTTCAGCAGAGCAGCCATTCATGTATATTACACCAATAGATAACATAACATTGCGAGGTGAATACCGTACTACGTACTGCTTAGCTACAACACTTCTGTTTGCGAGATCTACAGACTTGTTTTTGGATAGACGTGCAGGTCAGGATGTGTGAGCAGGCACGCCTAGAGTGAGCAGCGAGAGGATGTAGGTACAGGCGAGATAACAGGCGAATGAGCCGGTGAACGGGCGTACGGGCGCGAGAGCGAACGAGCAAGTGGTCGGGCAGGCGGATGGACTCACCTTCGTGTCGGTCGCGTTTGGTTCGTGCCCGGGCTCCACGCGTCCGTCAGGGGTCGTCTAAGGGTGGCCGTGCGTAGTTCGCCAATGGGCTCTGGTACGCCTGGTCATGTTTCGTCGGTGGTGGGTGCGCCATCAGCCCGCTCGTCGCCGGATCCAGGTGAGCCCCTCCGCTCTGCACGACGGGGATATGCGGTCGACCGTCGCAGCGGCGTCACTCCGGGCTAGAATCCTCGTTGGACGGGTGTAAGTGCGTCACAGCCACGGACCCGCGCGACATCGACTGCGACGAGCTCGTTGTCGCCTTCGGCGCACGGACTTGCCTATCCCTATCCCTCCCATATGCCCCTGGATGCGCCAACGGCGGCGGGGGGTAACCCGGTCCAGAGAGCTTGCGCTCCCGTGCCGTAGGGTGCACAGCGAGTGTCAAGCGCGCGTGCGGGGGCTCCGGGGGCGAGCGCGACGCCATGCGAACGGCGCTTACCGAGAACCGACGACCAACATTGAACGGCGCAGGCGACGCAGCCTCCGATCCTGGGTAGATCCGGCTGTCGTACTCCACGGGGGACGGCGCCCTCCTAACCTGCTCCGGGCGGCGCATGTGTGGCTCGACTGGCGGGAAGGTATAGCTCCCGGCGCGCTCGTCGGCTGTGTTTGTACGTGGGGCACTGGCCTTGTGCGCTCGCGGTTGGCGTGTTGCGCACGCCCTAGCCCTGCCTACCATCGTCGCCGTCTCCCGTCCTCAGCTTACGTGCGCGCGATCCGTTTGTCGGCCGAGCTTGCATGCCGGACATTCACCCTGTGCGCTCGCCTTCGCTGCCCGCACCGTCGCCCGCCTGTATACCCGCTAGTGCAGAGCAACCCGCCTCTCGTCGCGACAGCCTTGGGATGGAAGTCCATGCTGGTGCCAGGGCGTGAGTGCATGGGCATGTTTGGCTTCTGGAGGGCGAGCGAGAGTGACAAGAGCGACGGGTTGAGCTGGGTCCCGTCCGAGTGCGCACTCGTCTTCGGCGGCCACCCGATCGCAGACGACAGGCTTCGCGTCTGAGCTCGAGGTGGAGCTCGTAGTGGATAGGATGAGCAGGGCGGAGTGCGCCTTTTCCTTTCCCTTGCCTTTCTTGGCGAGGCGGGCGTGGACCGGGCGGTGGGCTGAGCGAAGCTGAACGAGAACGAGTCCCGCTTGTGGAGGCCCAGTGCGAGCGGTGTTGGCTTGTTCAAGAGGCCTGCCGCGGCGGGAACGGGTTTGGCGGGAGTGAATCCTGGTGCATATGATTAGTTGGTCAGCATTCTAGGGACAGTTCACGTACGGAGAGGAGCCCATCTGCCTGCCCGCCAGTCCGTCTTGTACCCACCCATCCGCCAGTCCACCGCCTTGCCCGCCCGCCCTCGCGCCCGTGCCCACGCTCCGCCCGTCGGCTGCGTTTGCGCGTAAGGCATTCGCCCTACGTGCCCGCCGTTATCGTGTGTTGCGTTCTCAGGGGTGCGGTCCATTCGTCGGTCATGTTTGTGGGCTCAGCATTCACCTTGCACGCTCTCCTGCTCTCCTGCTCGTCCACTCGCAGCACCCGCTTGCCAGCTTGCCTGCTCGTCGGCCTGCCCACCCACTCGCCTCGCTCGTGTACCCACCCGCCCGCGCAGCCTGGCCTTGTTGCTCAGCGCTGAACTTGCACACGCCTTGAGGAAGACCCGGGCCATACCGCAGGATGGGAGCTGAACCGCTCTAGTGGACTTGGCTATTGTCAACTTGTCTTGGAAGTCACGGAGGACCTTCTCGACGCCGGGCTCGAAGGCGGTACTAGGGAAGACTCGGAAGAGGTTGTTGTACAGCTCCTCGAAGCGAGCACGGATGAGCGAGGTGTAGATCTCGACAATGTGAGCGCTGAGTGCTGTGAGGATTTGGAAGACCTTACTTACTGTACATCGTTATTGAACGTTTGAACGTCGAGACCAGGGTTGGAGATGGCGCTGTTGCACCGTCACTTGCACGTTGCGTAAGGTCGGCCGGAAGGCCACGGTTCGAGAACGTTTGGGCCGCTGGGACTCCGACTGGAAGAAGAAAGGGCGTGTGGGACTAGGATTCGGGACTATGGGTGGCACACGGGGACAGGATGAACAATATGTTTGCGAGGTCGTTCGTGAACGTGCAGGGCTCGCCGCGTGTGACTGCCAGTGTATGATCATCATATCTATTCAATGCGCTTCACTCGTACGGTGTAGCCCCGCAGAGGACGTATCGGTCAGTTGTCACTCTCAGCCATGAGAGTAAGAGGTGAGAAAAACGCACACGAAGGCGGAGGACGATGAGATGCTGAAGCCCTCTAGACTCGCCTGCGCGGTTGACGACTCCCTACCAGGCATGTCGAGTTCCGACTGTTACGATGGAACGAAGATCTCCCAGTCGTATACGTGTATCGCGGCGCACTCCGCCGGGGACACCTATCTGCGGGAGAATGTTTATATCGAGCCGTACAGCGTATGAGGCATGAGTGCATGAGCAAGTACGAGGGCGGAGGGTGTCGATATCACCTGCGGTCCGATCAAATTCCTTGCTGTAGTACAATCCGGCGGTTTCTATAGATGCAACGTAACAATTTTACATTCACGGAGCATCGCCGCAACTAGTACGACAAAGAACATAACATGGTCGGTGCGCACACGGCAGAAAGGCAGTACGGACACGAGTCCGCGGTTCTAGATACACATCCGATGGCGAGGGTGGAGTTCTATGCCGTGCGACAAGAGCCGCGGAATGGCAGCCCACGGCGTAGACGTCCTTCGCGAGTGACGGATCCCCAGCGATCGACGAACGTGGCCGGTCGACGGAACACGCGTTCCCTCCATGGGGCTCGTGTATCGGTCGGAAGCCTGGCTGTGGGTCGGGTACGAGAGGGCAAACGGGAAGCATGAGCCGCAAGAGATTCTCGCCAGGCGTGACGTTCGTGTTGAGACTCGTTGGGCGGAGACAACCTCGCGAGACCTCTGGGTGGCATACAAGTTCGGTATATGCGGGGTACGGAGTAGGGTATAAGATCCACGCTGTATCGTAGCGATCAGTCCAGCCAGACGAGAGCGGAGAGATACTTCGCTTATTTGTGTTCGTGTTGGCGGTTTGACCTGATGCACGGCCTACGCCCCATGAGACAGCCGCACTGCGTCCAACTAAGGGAGCATACGCACGACGCTCGCCCACAGATGGTATCGTGACGTACAGGAGACGGTGTCCCGCTCTGCGCGCGACGTGCAGATAGTCGAGGCTCCGAAGATGCAGAACGGAATCTGACGACCGTATGATGCTCTTCCTGCGAGAGCACCGGAGGACGCGGATGTTCCGAAGGCTGACATGTTTATCAGTAGTCGTGATCAGCGCGAGACGTGGAGATGCGAGGATCAACGTTCAACGGCAGCGGGAGCGTAGATGAATTGGTGCGTATTGATGACCCGGAAGACGAACGCGAGAGCTCGAAGAGACCGCAAGGTTGAAGAGAAGCGGCGGCGTCCCGGTGTGCCAGCACCAGCCCGTCGCCTGAGACGGGGGAGTAGTGGGGGCGAGAATCGAGCGTCATCAGAGGTACGTAGCAGACCTTCCGTGCGTAGCTAGTCCTGAGATACGCAGTGATTCTGCGTGCAGGATGGATGTCATACGGGGAGTCTTTGAGTGCGAGGTTGACGGGATGGAGAAGAAGCGCGCGTACCATTCATCAAGCAACCGTGTCCGTCAGTATCACGCCTCCAGCCGGGGTGACAAACGAACCTCGTGCCTCCTGGTGTTGTGACGGTAGATGTGATTGCAATCTTGGGATACATGTATGGTAGGCTGGCTCGCAGTATACGTAGGAGCCTGTTGAGTATGCTAGTATCTCATCAAGCTCGAACAAACATGCAACAGAACAAACGAGACTCACCGGAACGACTCTCGTTGCCCTACAAGCCTCCAAGTACGTCAATTTCCCCCGAAGTTTGCGACTACACTGAAGCGCTCTTATGGGATGGCAGACCGTATGAGCAGACTGGAGGTGGAGAGGAGAGGATAGGCGGGCGTGGAGCACGACAGCGGCCAGAACCGGAAAATAGGGTCCAGAATGCAACAACTGGAACCAGTATGAGTCTGCACATTTTGTCGACATGGGTAGGACTGAGTACTAACCGGTATTTCAAACATGGAGCTTTTTCTCGAGTCGCGCCGAGGAGGTCTCTGTGTGTACGTGGGCGGACTGCAGGAACACGGGACGGTGACGCGTATGACCTTCAGGGGAACGGTGGTGCACGACCTGCCAGAGGGTGGGTATGCATGAGACGCGGTAGGTGGTTCGGCGTGCAGGTGGCGGGCCAGTGAGCTCTGTCGGGGAGCGGACGAGGATGTGACCAAGATGTGACTGATGCCGTCCTCGTCGGCGGTCACACCGCCCCCGCCACACACGCGCATCTGCACCCGGCGACGGTCCCCACGCCTCAGACAAGGATATCCTGAGGCACGAAGGTTGAAATAATTGTCTACGTCTGCCTGGGGAGACTACCTCGTCGACTCCTTGACCAAATCAAAACGCGCTCAGCCCACGCCACAAACCCGCGTGACCGTACTTACCAGCAACAAGCGCCGGACGCACTGCGCGACTCGGGTTCGGACGTGCTGCTGGTACCGCTCACCACAACTGTTTCCTTGCTACCACCGAAACTACGCATCAAGACACTCGCGCCGCGCCCTGCCACGATGGCCTTGCTGGGGAGTCGAGGGTAACGAAATTGGAAGGATAGGCTGTGCGGCGAATGGAGATATTTAAGGCATGCAGGCGCGTACATCCGGGTCCAGTACATACATACGTCGCCATTTGACGATATATGCTCAGATCACACCCTGCTTCGCATCTGTCACTGGTTCCTCTGCCAGCGGGTTCAATAACGCCGCCGTGCCTGCTCACCTACGTACATGGCCTGTAGTCCGCCGACTCGTTCGCTCGCGTACCCGCCTGTCTCCGCATTGCTCTTCCGCCCACCCTCTCGCTCGCCCATCTGCCAGTGTGCGTGCACCCGTCCTCTCGCCCGTACCTCCTCTCACCCGTACCTCCTCGCCCGTACCTCTTCTCGTCCTCTCACCCTCTCGTCCTCTCGCTCGCTCGCCCGCCCGTTTGCTTGTCCGCTCACCCTCTCGCCCGTCCATCTGCATGTGCACCCATATTCCCTTCCTCTCGTCCGTTCGTCCTCTCGCCCGCCCATCTTGTCCGCCCATCCTTTCGTGCGGCGCCCACTGCCTCCTGCCATTCAGTACACCACTCGTCAAGACACTCGTGCCGCGCCAACCACATATCCGATGCGTGCCGCGGGCTTGTCAGACCACCGACTGTCGAACACTCGCTGACATGCCCACTGGCGCTTCGGAGACAACGAACGCGAAGACTACCGCGCCGTCTCCTCGGGCATCGTCCAGCTTGCGACGGCGCCCGCCCTCGGGATACATGCGCACGACATCCCGCCAACCTGGCCATCGCGCAGCGAGCGTGCGAGCGACGCGCCGTGCCAGCAACTTGCCGCCCGGTGTCGCTAGGATGCCAGCGCAGGCCCCGACCACCATCCCAGGGCGTTCCAAGGTCACCAGCAACACGAGCGTCACTACGGCACGTCCCAGGATACACCGTTGACGGTAGAGAGCAGGAAACGAGGGGTTGAACGGCCGAGAGGGCTCCACCAGGTAAATGACCAGCCACACTCCGCTGCGCCGCCCCCTACCGCCTCTTGGACGCACGCAATGCGTTCCGCGGGCGTTCCGTGCACGTCAGACGACCCTGCCCTACGGCCTGCCCCGCCACATCACCGCCTTCCAGCCCAACCGCAGCTCCCCTACCTCGTTGCGCCGCCCTCGACCACCTCGGACGCCCCAAACGCGTGCCGAGGTCGAAGCACGTACACAAGACGACCCTACATAACAGCGGGGTTGTCTGTTCACATACTACCACCTTCCCAACTCGTCGTCCCCACTGTCTTATCGTCTCTTGGACGCACGCAATGTGTTCCGAGGACGTACCGCGCATGTCTGGCGACCCCTTACAAGATCGGGGTCGTCTGGTCGCGTCCTTAGGCCCTCCAGCTCTTCACTGCCTTCTAGCTCTTCACTGCCTTCCAGCCCTTCCCCAGCCCTCCTACCTTGCTGCCCGCCCTCTCTGCCTCTCCGAGGCACGAAACGCGTGCCGAGGCCGACGCACCCACCCAAGACGACCCCGCAGAAGAGCGGGGACCTCTGTTCGTGTGCCACCGCCTTTCCAGTCCGTGCACGCCGTCCTACCGTCTCTCGGACGCACGCCATACTTGCCGAGGATACACACATCAGACGACCCTGCACAATATCGGGTCATCTGGTCGTGAACTTGGGTCCTCCCCGTCACGTCATCGCCTTCTTGCCCTACCTCTCGCCGCCCCGCCCTCTGCCTCCCGGATGCACCAAACGTGCGCCGACGACGCACCGCACACATTAGATAACCCCGCAGAAAAAGCAGGGTCGTCTGTTTCTTTGCTAGAGAGAGAGGAGGACAAGTGGACGAGCGGACAAGAGCACGACTAGGCGATACGGCGAGAGGTTGAGAGGACACCCGAGTTAGCAAACGGCACAGCGAGTGCACAGTAAGACGGACGTACTGCAAGACGGGCGGACGAGCGGCCGAGACGACGAGGGTGTGAGAGGATGGGGGAACGAGTAAACACGTAGACACGTGGACGACAGGGCGAGCGGACAACATGGAGAAAGGCCCGGATGGCGGGCGAGCCGCGAGAAGATGGCGGGCGAGAAGACAGGCAGTGAGTGACACTCCCTCTCCTCCGCTCGTCCATGCCTTTTTGTTGGCCGCTCCGTTCATCCCCTCGCCATCTTACATTTGCATTGTTCAGCCCACTCGCCAGGTCACCGTGTCCCCTCTCCCGTCCCGTTCCCGTGTACGCGCGCGGCGCGCCAGCACATGCCCATACTCGCCACCCCGCCGTTGCGTCCGTCCGCGATCCGACTGTCATATTCGCGTGTGCTACGATCAACAAGTACGATATCGAGAAGCTGGCGGGGAACGGCAGTGAAGCACCTCAGTACTGCGTGGCCAACGACGCTCCAGGGCTGGAGACCAGCGAGAGGACTTGGCGCGGGCGTTCAAGCTATGCAAAGAGGCTTTCGGTATCCTTTGTCCGTCGTACGTACCTGCTCCACTCATGCTGCTGAGCCCTTCCTGATGTGCTCGTGGGTAGGCTGCCATCAACTTCGTGCGAGAGGTGGATGCGCGGTGGCAGCTGCTCCTCTCCGCGTTCTACGACCTCTCGCGGTACCAAGTGCAGATACTCGGCGAGGGCCCTAGGATGACCACGAGGCGGGCTCGCCGCGCGCCAGCACGCTCGCACACGCGGACATGCAGAAGCTCGCGCTAGGGAAGGAAGCCGTTAGGTATGTGCGAGGAGCTTGCAGGCTTGGGCGGCGAGGGAGAGGAAGTAGATGAGGAAGCTTTGCCAATACGGTTGCATCGGCGCGAATGTTCATTCACATACATGAACAGATGAGGCTCTCGTGTACACTCCTACTACCTAGTCTATAATGACATCGTCTTCGCACGATTCTTCCCACTGCCTCTCTGCCTCTTCTGCTGAAATGATACCATCCTGATACTTCTTCCAAATACTTGCCAAACGAGAACTTGTGGCGACAGATATACCCCACTGTGCGAAGGGTGGAGTGTTACAGTAAGGGTCGCGGTGCATCAGGCTTGTGCCATGGACGTCCTGTGGACACCAGGCGATGAAGGTATTCGGGGCCATACAAACCTTCACTCCATAGCTAGCGATATAGAAATTACCACCTTCGTCGTCTTTGAGGTTCCGGTTTGTGGTCCACGAGAAAGCGAAGCGGTGTGGCTGGTATTCTGTGTGCATCGCACTATTGACTAATTCAATATGTAACACGGTGCATATATTGCCGACGTACCGCGCATAGTTTGCCCCCATAAACGCAGTAGGCGGGGCAAGTTCGACATTATGAAACTCCACAGAGTCATTGCCTTTCTGTATACAATATGTCCCGTGTGATCCTCCATTCTCCGCCATCGTACCCTGTCCATCCATGCGACAGAACTGATTCTTGACTAAGTACTCGTCCAGATCGCGCGTGAGGGCATCTGGAAGACGCCCACGCACGAGGTTGAAATTCAAGGCGGCCGCTGACGATGCACGGCAGGCAAGGCCGTTAATGTAGGTGGGAGGATGCTTCTTGCTTAGCAGGTTCCGCGCCCAGTCGAAGGTGGGTTTGGACCGGGAACCCGCTGTGTAACCGACACAGACGAGTTTACCAGCATCCTCGAGCTAAGGTCTTGCATCAGCAAGTGTTGTTGTCTACGGCAGAAGACTTGCGGACTCACCCGGACTGAACGAGTCTTACTGATATCCTCCACAATAACATCTCCTACCCAGTTCTTGACATCCTCGTCACGACAGAAGTCGCGGATGATCACGACAGCGATCTCTCCACTAGTAGCGTCGTAGATGGTGGCACCTTGGTCAGGCGGGACGATATGCGCAAGCTGTGAGATGTCCTCCTGGTGCATTGGTAACCGCTTCGTGCGCTTGTCGGGCATCTTGTCTTCGACGATGCGCTGGTGCCAGAGTGCACCAGTGTCCGGCCGCTCGTAGATCCAGTACCCTTTGGGTGGATAAGCCACGCCCAGACGAGGTAGATGTACCTCGTAAGTGACTGCCTTGAGGTTTGCCATGCGGACACTATCTTCCGCGCGCACCAACCCCATTTTGTCAGCAAGCCGCCGGTGGACTTTGCGGTGGTGGTCTCGCGCGGCCTTACACTTCCGCATGGCCGCCCGAAGCTTGAGTGGCATATCATCCTCCAAAGCGGCGAAGAGGCCACAGAAGTCCGAGACAGCGTCCTTACCGAGGATGCTGACTGGCATGGCCAATGTCGATTCCACCTTGCGAGCGTGGCGGCGCAGTACCTCTGTGACCTGGTCATAGTAGCGATCGTTCCACGAGTGTTGCAAGAGGACAAGGGCTGCTTCGTCAAGTGCTAATGAAACGGCGAGTTGCAGGAAGCCTGCTTGTTTCGCCTTTCGCTGTACACCACGTTGCGGCATTCTCTGGACAATAATCAGTCGGATTGATACAATGCAGAATTTACTGGTATGAAGGGAATACCTTGTAGGCAGCTGCCGCAATATGTAAGTTCGTGGCGAGTATCAAATGGCCGCCAGCTACTCACCAAGTGGAACTGTATTTGCTGGACTGCGGCGGCAGGTACAGCCCTACACACCGCACCTACGTATATAGTAAGTACCGCGGCGACCTAGCTGGGTACTGGCGGCGTAGGCATGTCACGGGACGGGCGGTAATGTGACTGTCACGCCGCGCGGCCCAAGGCAGCCCCAGAATCCCTACTACGACCTCCCGCTAAGTTATGTGCACTCCTCGGGGACGCACGTTCTTCATGTCGCTGGGACGCTGGCACCAGTTTTTCGTGGTACGATGTCGCGGTTGCCTTGGCCCTTAGCGGAGGTCGGGTGATTAGTCGCGCGTACTGGAATCACTGCTCTGCTGGCAGTCCTGGTGCGCGAGCGTGCTAGCCACAGCCTCTGGCAGCCTACTACAACACCGCATTCACGGCCTACTTGAACCTCAAATCCTTTCGTATGCCCTTCTTCCCTTTCATGGTCGGCCCAACTCCTCCGTAGACTCACACCAAGCCACCACCGCGCTCTCGCCCGTGCGTATTGCCCGGCCTCTTCACCTGGATCTCCTCCCTTCCATTGAACAGACGCACTCCCGATCCCCGCGCCTACCCAACTCGAGGGCCAGGCATTTCCTGACCTTACAGCTGCCGCAGGCACGGCCCATTCACGACCCGGTGCCTACAAAGAGCAGCGGGACCGGCACACGAAGACATGCATGTGCGTGCTCTGGGAGGAGGGCAGGAGTAGGTACTCGGAGAGTCTCGGTCTGGGGCACAAGCAGCGCGGATGCCAGTATGCGTCAATCTTTGATTCCGGTGCAACGACTTCCACTCGCATCACTGCGCCGTTGGGTTCTGCTATGGGGTCGGCCGGCCCGCCAAGGTCGGATGAAGACCATAGCGAATCTATAACGGTTATCTCTGCGTCGCGCACGGCCCGTGTTTTAAGCATCGATCTCTCTCCAGCTTCTCTCCCCTCCGGTCCGCCATGAGCATTGCCAATCGCAGCCTACGACGTCTCTCCGCGCTCGTCGTGTGCTCGCCGCACGTAGGATGCGCCGGTACTTCTCGTAGCGTGGGCGATCCTGGAGGATGTGGCGGCGTGACTGGTGTGGGGCGCCGCATGGGCAGTCGATTGGTTCAGTAGGTACGAAGGACTGCAAATCGGGTGGGTCATTAATCTCACTGCAAGTCTGGCAGATTTGGCGGTCGCTGACGGGGCTCTATGCATGTAGAGGAGCCGGTGGACTGGTCAATCCCAGCTACGTGCAGAGCCAGGTGTGCTGGAACGCGCTATGTGTCCGAGTTGTTAGGTTGACAAGGCCCGCGCATCGTTGCGCAGCAAGGAGGGCGTGGTCGCACGTGCTCGAGCACGAACACGAAACATGCGGCGCGAGCTCGAGCAGGCGCAGAATGAGATGAAGGGCCTCCAGGAGGCGATCGAGGAGAAGCGCGAGGAGCTCGGGTCATTGGATGAGGTTCAGACTGCGCTTGCCATCCGGGAAGAGGTGAGGGCGTCTTGTGTCTGAACGCGACCAATCGATGGTGGCTGACGACAATATGGTGTAGCTGAAGCAAGCGAAGGAAGCAACCAACGTGCAGGACGAGCTCGTCGGTTTCTTGCAAGGCAGACTGGCCGAGGTCGAACGCACGGCAGAAGCGGAGCGTCTCGCGAAGCAGTCGCCGGACGAGCGCGCGGCCGTGCATGAGGCGGAGTGCGTCACGCTCAAGGAGGTCAAGGTTCGCCTCCAGACGGAGATGAGTGAGAAGGAACGGGAGCTCGGCCAACCGATACACTCAAGTCCTCGCACGCGCCGCAGAGCTGGACGCGCAGAAGAGGGAGCCCGCGGCGAAGGTGGTGGCGCTCGAGGCGGCGGGGCGCGAGGCGCGAGACGGTCAGACACGCACGGAGGAGAACCTACGCGAGGATCGCGGCGCTCGAGGAGGAGCGTGCGCAGTCTTCTTCACAGGAAGAAGAGGTGATGAAGCTCGTATACGAGGAGCGGCGGGAACTCCTAGAACAGCTCCGCGCCGCACACGTGCAGGGGCAGGCGCAGAACGGATCCGCGAGCGCACAGGCGGCGCGGACCCCGCACTGGCAGGCAGGAGACACTGCGCCGCGGCGGGGCGCTGGGGCTTCGATATGGGTACGTCTCGTCGCCCCCGCCATCGTCTGCGCACGGCGCTCACATGCCTGCTCGCTCGACAGACGAACCTGTATGTCGAAATCCTCGGTGTCCGGTTCGACCAGGCGAGGGGCCGGGCAAGTACGAGTACGTGAGGGAGCTAACAAAGCCGATGGAGAACGTGTGGATGGTTGCGTTCATTCATACGGGAGACATGCGCGATCATGAGCAAGCGCGATTTGCAACAGAACTCCGGGTGAACTCGTACCTCTCAGGGCTTCACATGTCGTGTATCCTTAGTAGTAGGACGTACAAATATTATGTCTTTCCGTCTCAGACTCTGATCCTCGCACTGAAGCGATATTCTGTCGAGACTTGCGAGTCAGTGACACTGTAAGTTGGCGAACCGGCAGCTCATGTCAATTCAATGCCAGGACTTATAGCACTGATATATAAACTTGTGAATACAGCCGCGATAGCTCACTATCTACTGTGAGCGGCGGACGGCGCAGAACCCTGTCTCGATGACGCCCGAGCAGCAGAAGGACATCCTCGAGTACACGTACGACCTCCTGACGGTGTTCAACAACGGCATCCCGCCGAAGGGGAGCGTCGCGCCGTGGTGGGAGACGAGCGCGGAGGGCACGATGCTGCTGATCGACAAGGGGATCGAATACGGTACGGGCTGTCCTTGAGAGTACCCGTGCTGGCTCGTTGACACAGTCCTCCCAGATCATTCGCACATGGCTCACGAGTGAGCAGCAGCACGGATGTGAGAAGTGCTGGCTAACGCTTACTCGGATCATGTGTGGCTCGCAGGCGTACTACCTGCGTGACCAGGATACGTGGACGACGATCGACTACACGGCCAAGGCTGAGGCGTGGATGAAGCCGCTGCAACGAGGGAACGTCACCGGATTGGTGGAGCTACCTGCTAACTGGTTCGAACCACTCTCATTCGAGATCCACAACGACTTGTGCTCACCGTTGCGCGTCTGGGACAGGTATTTGGACGATCTTCCGCCAATGATGTGCGTGTTCCACACGCACACATCAAGCACCATTCTCATCATCTCGGTCTGGTAGGTTTATCAAGGGAAGCGCAAACTCACATGGATGGGTCAACTGCCGAGACGTCGAGCAACTCTGGAAGGACACCTTCACCTACCTCTACCGAGAGGAAGAGGATTTCATCTTCCCTATCACAATCCATCCCGACGTCAGCGGGTACGTGTCCTGTATGTTGAACCTCACCAGGACTGATCGCGACCGCTACCACGCAGTCGCCCGCATGTCTTGCTCATGCTGGAGCGCTTCATCGAGTGGGTCAACACCCACGAGAATGTACACAGGAGTGGTCCCATGGGGACAAGCTTGTGGACACGGTGAGATTGAGGTTCGCCAACGCGACAAGACTACATGCCGTCCATCAAGTCCATTCAGAGATACACATAGCGAGAAGGAGCGGTCTTAGGGCATATGTTAGGTGAACATTGTGCGCAGTAGCCTCGAATTCGTCCACACCAAGAAACAGCAACCAATCCCGCCAGCCTACGTACTAAATTCCACAACAGAATCTGGATGCTTCGTTAGCCCTGGCATACCACAAGATTTGGCAATCTCTTACCACCCCATGCCCTGCTCTCGTTCGGGGAGATGGGACTGTACAGACCTCTAATGAACGTCGCAGACCTGGACTGCATCGCTTGCAATGTCTTCGCATTTTCTATGAGCAGATGAAGAGCGCAGACATCGAGGGCTATGGAGTGGTAGGCATTCGGTTCGCTCTTGTTCTCGAGAGGTTGCAGCGCCTCGGCCAGCACGAAATGGTCCCTGATGGCTCTTCTGGACGTCCTATGATCCTGCAGATCAAACCGGTTAGTCGTGACAACACCAAGTGATCTAGTATGGGCTCACATTTCGAAGGTAGAAATCGAACGTTAGGATGAAGCGTACCAATACCCACAGCAACATGTGTCTGTGGTTAACGCGCTGGCCCTTCACATTATTGAGGGCCTTTGTATAGCCCAAGGACGCCCGGACTTCCGGTATGGAGAGCCCGGTGAGCTCTTCGTCAATGGTAGGGCGGCAACGGGCGAACCACCACGCCAAGAGATTCTCGACATAGCGCCGACTCTCCACCACACTGTGACCCACCCCGGCGGTCTCCTCCAGCAGGACACCATTAATTGCGAGGATTTTGTCCTCTGTCGGGGTGTTGCCGCTGAGGATAGGGCTGATTGCTGCCTTCAACTGCGCCCCTGAGCGGGCTGGTGGCAGGGCGTTGACTGGAGCAGGGGGGGGAGCAGGAAGGCCCGGGGGCACAGGAAGGGGCGCAGGAGGGGGATAGCGACCGGAGCCGTTCTAGAGACGGCGACGTCAGGGACTGCATTGGCGGCGTTGATGGCTGCGTTGGTGGCCGCCGCCACCATCGCCTGCGTTCCCACCAGGGTGATCGATACGATGACTCGATGCATTCCGACGGGTGGAGTGATGTCCAGTACCCTCGACAGGTAAGCTGTATATACGCATCAATAGCCCGCCCGCCGAGCAGTAGGAAATGACCTAGACCGGTTCTTTTCAGAACGTCTGCCCGCCAAAGACATTTGTGGTAGTAGTGGTACTCATATGGATATGGAAGTATTTGGAGGTCATGCCCGGGCCTGGACCCCTTCTTTCCAGGCCGATGTCAGGCTCCAAAAGGCATCGTGAAGTCTCTCACCAATTGCTTCTCGAGTAAGGAGGCCGCCAGGGTACGGAGCTTCCCTCTTCCTCTTCGCTGCCTGGAGCTGACTTGCAGGAACAGGACCCGAGAGCCATGTCTCTAGGCTCAATGTCACTTATGAATGGAATCGTATATGGCAAGCTAATCTCTCGATGACACTCGGAAGCGAACAAACCGTGCCCTCGGATTTTGAGTGGCGATGAATTCTGGGACCCCACTTTGGCCGTCCCGAATTGGAAGAGCGTGCGCGAAGACGCCCCACTTTGAGAGCCACGCCTTATCTGCGGATCTCTAGTCAGCTGCCTGGACAGTGCGCACTCCGGGGACTTCCCTCTTGACGACTCTTCCCATGCTGGCAAAAACTTTGCGTTACGTTTTGGTTACGTTGACTGTGCATGTATGCCGGTGCGTTTCCGATTGACAGCGGACTGGTAGGCCTATGGGACTTTAGGGCGTCAGCGTGCTACTGCTTTTGGCTCCTGATCTTGGTTTTCTGCGCGCCGTGCCAGACCGGGTTCAGCTTCGCTGTCTGTGAACTGTGACACCAAATTCTCCTGGACAAAGGGCAACTGAGACGCAGTCCTCTGGCTTGGACGATAACAGGCGGTGTCGGCCCTCCTTATCGCACGTCGCGCACCGGTGCTACCATGACGGCAGACAGCAATGTCATCTCACGTCGACCTAAGGTCTCCACATCTGTAATCGGCATGGGCATGCGGTGCCCGGCATCGCGCTTTGGAGAGTTCACTTCCTCATGGCATTATGTCTTCCGTTCAGGTGTTGGGTACGCGGATTGGTCGCGGTTCCTTTGCGCGTGCGGCTTGCATGAGCGCTCAGTCTACGGATTTTGTACCATGCACGTACCAGAGGCGGTAGAAGGAGAGGACGTAGGAAGACACGCCACCGCTGCTTGATAAGTACTGGTGGACCGACTCGCGGAGGCAGGTTCGCATCCGCGAAGCGCCAGAGATCCAGGCGGGCGGCGGCGGACGAGTTCGCTTCTGCTGCATTGCACTCGACCAACGAGGCGAAGGATGGGTGTGCCACCATCGAGATCGAACCGTGCGGCGTCGCACTAGCAGTGTTGCACGCACGGCCATCCGGACTGTCGCATTCGCCCAGTATCTGCTGGCGTGACACCGAGAAACATCCAGACAACGCAAATATATATTGTCCCGAGAGTACATCCAGCAGCGTAACAAAGTAGTCGGTATGGGGGCGGGCAAGATGAGCGAGGAAGATCAGACCAAGATTGTGACAAAGAGTACGAAGAGGAACTCACGTTCAACAACGGAGACAAGGGGATCCGATCAGCGGGTGGATCAAGGAATAGGGCTGCGAATAGTGTGAGAACCAGAGAAGACCCAAGACAGGTCGGACGTACGCAGGCCGGCCTGAAAGAGCGTCTCGAGAGCGAAGGGGCGGGACGCGGCTTGTTCCTCATCGTCACTGAGATGGAGTTGTAGTGCGGGAGGGAGGCTGCTGTTGTCGATAACGCCGGGATACTGAAACATGTGCATGAGAGTGTTGGCAGCGGCATGATCGGGCTTGCGGCTTACTCACATACAGACGAGGTACACACGATCGAGGTACACGCGATCTTCTTGACTTGGGTTCATAGGTTGCAGATGGTGAAAAATTCGACATGAGAGGAGTGGCGGCAAAGAAGATGAGAAGGACGGTAGACTAGACGCGGAGACGGGAGATGCACTCGCACACGCTCAGCCAAAATCTTGGATCACGTGCTACAGTGTGCCGACTCATGCAGTGAAGCTTATGGCTACTATGCGTTGTCCTCGCACACTTCGTCTCTTATAAAGGTTTCTACATATATATCATACGCATTACAGTCAGTACATGATGTGTTCACGAGAGGAGGCTGGGGCATACAAGGAGGATAATTGAATTTCGTTCGGGAGAGTGCATGCTTATGTAACTTACTGCCATATACGGAATAGCCAGATGAGGCTGCGGGGCGCGGTCAGTTGGCCGACTTTCTCTATTCTGAAAGTTTCCTCAGATGGGAAACAGCTGACGCACCAGTATGTCAAAGCTTGACGTCGGTGCGAGTGAGGGCTCAAGGAGGATAAACAACTTCGGACCAGCGAGAGCGAGTAGGAGCAAGTACTCACAGGCGCTCGTCCAAGTCACGCGCGCAACTCGATCGCTCGGTGATCAGCCACTATTAGCGCTAAGTATTGCTCCTCCTTCAATAACTTACTGGTGGCTGCGAATGTCGTCTTGCCTCCTCCCTTCTCCAGCCCGCCTCCCTGTCTCTATCTTCACCCGCTGAGCAACAGAGGCAGCCGTTCCTCAAGTCTGGGAGGAGGGTGCAAAGGTACGTCGCAGGGCGGGCGGGGACGGGAAAATCTCACCAGTTGCACCACACCCGGCCATGTGTAGTGTAGTTCCGCATTAAGGACGTCAAGCGCAAGAGCTCTAATGGAACGTCTATCAACAGCGAGCGGCCGAGTCCTGAAGAGCTTGAGTGTCAGTCCGAAGGCATATCCGTACGTACGCTCCTCACCCGCCAACGTCGCTCGCGTTGAAACAGACATGCTTCACGTTAGGAATCCAGTATCGACATAGTATGCAGCGCGCGTTCTCTGCGCATTCATGAGCCTCGCGTTCGAGCTGGAAAAATTAGCGTAAAACACTGGTGCGTTCACTCTGGGACTAGCTCCGAGGCCGACGGCTAAACAAGACGTGCTGCTCAGCCTCACGATCCGCCTCCCTCAGTTCTTCCCCATCATGCCGCCTCAGCCCCAGAGCGTTGTACCAATAAATGCACGACACAAGCCCTGAACGAGTTGCAGAGCCAGTTCTGCGAGACTCGATCATCGCTCGCTACTCATGCCGAGAAGATTCAGACGCTTGACCAGGCGGGATGCGCAGCGTCGACTGGGCCAGCAGACGACCACTCGGACGTGCTCTACGTACCGGCAGGCCAGAAGCGCGAGGACGGACGCGCGCGGACGGTGGACGTAAGCACACGCGTGGCACCGTATTTGCTGAGTAAGTGTCTCAATTGCTCACGCACGACGCTCTCTGATCGTATGCATCCGCATGTCACCCAACGTTCTCTCTGCCTCCTTTTGGTCGCTCATTCCTCTCGCCATCCCAATCTCGCCACCTCTATGGCGGATGCATACCGCTTAGCGACCCAGCCCGCTCCAGAGTACATACCGCGCTACCAGCGCAACGCTCTACTGCAAGACCTTATGTACCCGGCGCGAGCGTGGGAAGCGGTGGTGCGCGCACTCGGCTCCGGCGCGCTTTTGGATCCATCGTTGTCGGACACGACGTCCGCCGAGACGGCGCGAGTGCGACTGGCACGGCGCTCGCGCGATTCTGGGTCAGCCGCTCGCGCGACGACTTCGTTTTCAGGATGCCAGAGAATGACCGGACTCCGCCCGTGCTTGAGGAGACGTTAATGGTGTCGAGTCGCTTTTTGATATCTGTAAGTGTTTCTTTAAGTCTCGGCGGCCTAACTACGTTTTACAGACCACCTTCCGTCGTCCTTCACCGAGCCCTACGTCCATCCTCGACCTCTCGACCTCCCTGCATCAGGACGAGTGCGCGTTGTGTGTGGTTTGTTGTCGCACGCGCGCCTTCTCTCCGACACCGTATAGTATGTCCTTGTTTCGTAGCCCTTTCCATATATGTGGTTCTGATGGTGACTTTTCGTAGTTGAGCTCTACGGAGTCGATCGTTTTATTAGGTTCGTTCTTGTTCTGTCCCGTTCTTTGTACGCTATCATTTTCAGTGATCTGATTCCTTTGTATGCAAGTTTTTGCGCCAGGGTCGCGAGCTTCGCTGCCGTCAATTGCAGAGTTGGGTATAGAGTCTCCAGGTTGATCGTGTCTGCTCGTTCCTTTCTCGCGCCTTCGCCGGCCAGTTGGTCAGCTCTCTCGTTTAACTTGTGTCCGTTATGCCCTTTGACCCATTTCAGTCTTGTGTCTTGGCTTCGCTCGCAGAGCGATCCTATCAGTACGCGCGTGTATCGAACCCTTCCAGATCTCTACACTGTGTGGCTCATCCTGCAGCTCAGAAGCTATGTATCGACATCAGCCCGACTACCACACCGGACCAACTGCAGGACATCTGGGCGATAATGACGATTGCTGAGTTTGCAACTTGTCCTGCCACGGTGAGGGACAGGGACACCGGAACACGAGATTAGTACGCGAGGCCTCTGGCACGAACGTCATGCATATGCTTCTATTGCATCTGCCTGCTAGAAGTGGGTCGTGTATCGGCGAAGCCTGGCTACATGTGGAAGCGACATGACCTTGTGAGGACTCTCGCGCGCGTTACCGCTAGATCGATTGGACCAGAGGTAATTAAATTACCTGAGTGTTGCCGACCAGCAGCGCCATTGGAACCGCATGCATTGGCGCTGCCGCAGAATGCGGAAGGCGAGAATAAAGGGCATTCCAGATGATTCGACATGCGGCCATCGACCTGCTAGTATCACTGATAGGCTGTCAGCTATCTATGTATGCTCTGGGTGGAGATGGCGACGCATGCGTACGTACCCCTGTACAAATTTGAGATGCCCATGCTGAAGCACGTCGGTTGTCAGTCCAGTCCTGCATCATGGCACATGTCGCCATACTATCTCGATTCTCGAGGCCTGTACCTGTGTTCTCCCACGTCAGTACAAAAGCTACACAGCAAACGAGTTGCATTCACAGCACCTGGTAGCTCGACTCCACCCTTTCGGCTCTTCCATAACCAGTTTTGAGGACTGCCTACTTACACGCAGAGCGAGCTAAGCGGCAGAACGTGTACGGGCCATGAGATAGATCCCTGGCTCCGTATGGGTTGGACACCGAGGTGGAAGTGTTCCGGAGCGCAAGATTGAGCGCATTTGCCTTGCGACACGTGAATGAGAAAACATCGGGTCACTGGGTCAACACTGGGTACACTGAATTAGAAGAGCAGTGGATGTAGCACGCACCGTGTGTTCCAGAGCTGTGCGATTCCAGGGTAGGAATACCGACCTGTGGTCTCGGCTATCCCATCAATGTTATTGAATTTGACGTTGAAGCTAAGCTGAAGGTAGATGAGTAGACGGGCCAGATCGGACCTCAGGCCTCAAGCTTCATACCCAGTGAGAACGTGCAAGATTCCCTTGCATTCTCAGTGATCCCTGTGTGTTGCTGTCAGCGCCTGTCAGCAAATTCTATTCCCGTTGATTCGTGTATGTTGCCGCATTCAAACCGCGCGATCGCGAGCCCATAAACTGCTTCCACGATTTGACACTTTCACAAATCCCGGGTGTCCCGCAGTTCAAAATGTCCAAATGTCCAAATGAATGCTTTCGCTCAATCCGAAAATTTTCCCGCTTGCCAATTGTCCGCCCAATGTGCGCTGCAATCCGGCTTGCGGTCCCGTGACCACTCTCCCCACGACGTCACTGACGGTGCACTTCACGCAAGTGTCGAGGTCGAGACGTCTTTGACTCTGTACCACCACCTTTTCCCTGCACTTCTTCCAGTCCTTGTGCGCTCATGCTTGACAGGTATGTGATTGATCCTCGCAGGCGATGTGCGGCATGACGCGCACGACGACGGCGGCGGGCGGACGAGTCGACGAGCGGCGGGTGGCAGGCGGGCGGGCGAGCGGCAGCATACACGCCGACCGCTTGACGGCGACCACGCAGCGCGAATGCCCTGTGTGGAGACGCAGCCCACGAGTGGACTGCAGGCGAAGGAAGGTGAGTCCAGAGACGCGCCAGCGAGCTAGCTGACCGTAAACACAGGGCGTGACGACGTGTAGCACAACGCCGCACACGTCGACCGCGAGCGCGCTGGGCAACTGCCCAGCGCGCAGACACGGCCGACGACCGGACGGCGTGTGCGTGAGCGAAGAGTGGGCGAAGCAACGCGCCGCACATCACACGCTGACCGCGAGCACGCGTGACCAGATGGCGGGAATGCGTGAGGGAAAGCACCAGCGTAAGGTTGGACACGGGTAGCACCACGGGTGCGCAGGGCGCATACCGCACCCGCGACCCGCGTACCCGTACCCGTCTGCGGTGAACAAGCCTGACCACCGCAGGTATCACCGAGCACGTAAGCAGTTCGCAGAGGAGGTACGGCGCGAGCGTCGAGGACACCGTGCGGCGTGATGGGCTCGCACCGCACCGCGGAGAGCACCGAGGTGATGGGCACTGCTACGGCCAATGATCGGTGCCGTGTGAGGCGTCACAGGCTTTGCGGGTACCAACGCAAATGCGAAGGCGGAGAACGAGGTATGTTCGACCGATCACTGCCTCTTGTCTGTCACAATGACAATTCAAAATCTCGTCGCCTCGCCGCAACGCAAAGGTGAGTAGTATAGTCTTATGGACTCAAATCTCTAAACCGTTCCCGAGTATGCGGACAGAAGCCTGAAGCCCAAGCGGAACTCGGGTGACAAGTCCTACCGCAGCCCATTGTCAGCGCAGTGCGAGGGCGTCAGTGTCGTGTCTCAGTGGGGTAGGGACTACCACAGGCCTAGGATAGCATACCTGCATTGTATCGTGGTATACATTCGGACTCCTACGAGACGCGCAGAATTAATTCCATGAAAATCGATTTATATTCCAATTTGGGCGCGGATTCGAGTGATACAGAGCTCGTGTACTAAACAGATGGCAATTGCTGCCATTCGATTGCAACATACACGCATTTAAAACGAATTGAAGGGAACATACAGGGAACAGAAACCCATCTGTTAATCGGACAAATGGCCATTCCCTTCGTTTCCCAGCGTTTGGTGGAGCGGGGTGGGGCGGGAACAGCTGGGAAACGCTGGGAATGGCAGGCGATCTTGCACGTTCTCACTGGGCTTCATAATTGAAGGTTTATCGTCGAAGACGTGTGGCGTGTCCTTCAAGTGGAGCTGTCAGTCTACAACGGAATAACAGCACCGAGCCAGCGCACCTGTCAAACGCTCAAACACAAGAAAAGGCAATCTCAGAGTCGGACAAGAACCGGTTAGTAGTAGTAGTCGCTTTCGGAAATTTTGATTCTAGAAGATGCCACGAACGTTCGTGTGGCCCTGGAGAACGCTGCCCATGTATCGAACAATCACTATGGCCGACCAATTGCGGATGACGCGACCAACAGTCAGCGAATCTCGGTCTGCCTTTTCCACCAGATGGCGACGTCGAGCCTGACTCAGACCTCGGCGACGTCCCATTCAATGGAGAAGGCAATATGTACGAAGTGTACGGTAGCGTGCCTGAGAATATCGTGCAGACCATCTCAGGTGGGTCTAGTGTCCTACGGACACTGGATACGTCTGCTTGCCTACTCCGCGCCGACACCTTCAAAATGGTGTATGATTGCGCGAGTCAGAGCCGCTGGTTCCTCGAATGCGTAGCCTCTGCGTGCCGGACTGTACAGACTGGCGAAACTCGTATTACGCTGGTGGTAAGGCCTTCAACTCGAAGTCAAGAGAACCAGAAACCACTGGTGTTGTCGACCACACCCTAGACGAAGGCGTAGGTCACTTGATATGAGCCCATAGTGGGACATCAGTGGAATTTGTACCACGACGACTGACATAACTGTTCGCGCGAGCAGAGAACACAGCTCCGCATAATCGTCGGCGTGGCCGGATAGAACGTAGCCGGGGAGAAGTATGGGCCAAATATGAGCGAATGGCTGTCCAGATTCACCCACGACTTCTAGGTCTATGCAAGTCTTGCCGTAAGGTCTATTCCTCGGTTTATTCAGCACGCGCGCGTAGTGGTCTAAGGCCCATCGAGTGCCCAAGTGGTGTGGAACGCTGCGACGGAAGACATGCTGCGCAGGGTGGTACCAAGCACGGCAGACTGTGCAGCAAACCGCAAGTGCAAGGAGGTCGTCCCAGAGGCAGTCGCATATGTGCTCGATCACGTCCTGCGGAAGATGCGGATCTTAGATGGGGTATGTTCAATCGCAGATACAAGGAAAGATACATGTTGTACACCCGCAAGTAGATCACCTTCCACGCGAGCTCACGGCGCCTTCGTGATCAGCTCCTGCATGATCTTCACTGCTCTCTTAAACTTTGTTTGCCTTGTCCTCCGCCGTCGCCTGCACCGTGCTTGTCCCAGTCCCACATCCAGCGGGCCCGCCGTTCATCCACATAAGGTCGTCGCTCCCGAAAGCGATGCTCGTGTCCAGCCCGTAAATGTCCTCGCTCCCCGGCGGCTGCTCCGTCGGGATCGATTTGAGGATATCGTACAGCTCGCCGACGAGCGTCGTCGCCCCTGTGCTGACAGCGTCTTGCGCTCCTCGTCGCCCAGGGAGGGTGTCCCGTCGGGACGCACGGCGGCGGTGATGTTCCAGCTGGGCTGCGAGGGTGTTCTGGTGATCGTGTAGATCGCGCTCGGGGTGGGAGGGGCGATGCCTCCGGTGATCCCTATAGGTAGCGTAGATGTGTGAGTCGATGTCTGCTCGTATGATCAAGACAAGCTGTGGCTGACCGTGTTGCAGGCGGAGCGAGAACTCGGTCGGGGCCATGGTGATTTCGTCGGGACACTGGGCGTGTAGGGACTACGAACGGAGGGTTGACTGTGGGTATGGGTGAAGGCGCGATTGGTACGGTGCGATCGTTATCCGCAGCTTATAATGCGCGTTGTGAGCCTCCGGATACGTGCCACTCGGCCAGACGCGCTCATGCGCGGTTGTGGCGGAAGCGCCACTGCGCTCCTGATTGGGCTTGTCACGTCATTACTAGGCACGCTAGCTCGAGGCCAAGTGCTCAAACCAGCGTAACTTACCAGTAACAGTAAGTACTCGACCATAATAAATTTGAAGGTGTATGTGGGGGATAGTACTGACCTTGAAGTTGTCGTATGTGTGTAGCCGTGTGAAGACTGGCTGGCCCGCCGTCACGGTGGCACTGACCTGCCAAGTATTGAAGCAAGGTACGTACTAGACCTAGTGAAGCATCTACTCAAGTTGTCAGGGAGCGGTCACAGCTAAAATTGCTGTACGACACCGTGTAAATTGACTCCTCTCACGTCTGTAGAGCTCTTCGGTAACCCTCGATTAAGGCGCTCGTCACGTCTGTATTTTGAGCCAACGAAAACCAAACTCAATGACCGGTATGTCTGAGGATTGGGCCAGGGTCGCCAGAAGAGCTAAGAGGTGAGTCGGTATGCGGCTTCTGCTTTAGTATTGCCATGATTACGGTCACCTACCCCCTACGACACAGTAGAGCGGCGGTACAATGAGACTACCGCATTTGGTCTACCGCCGACTTACGTCGGCGCAACCTGACCTCCCTGCAGACGAGTGCGAGATGGGGTCGCACGAAAGCTGTGTACATTACTTCGCCCTTCTCGAACACGTACTAGGAGCTACAATTACACAGTCAAATTTGAACGTCGCCCCAACACCAGATACAAGACCTTCAGCAGCTCGTGTCGGCCCACTTGTCGAAGAAAGCCAAGTAACGCCTCCAGCGGCCTCCGTCAAAGCTCTCAATGCGCTTCCAATCCTCACTGCCCAGCATGATGCGCAACCAGATCAACACCCCAGCGACATACGTGTCGGCATGGGTGACCTTGCCGTCGTCGCCGCCAGGGCCCCCGCCGCTCAGCAACAGCCTTCCATCGCCAGCCGCGACAAACCACGACGCAACGACGCTGAACGCCTTCTCCGCGACCACCCACTGCTCCGCGCGCTTCTCGGACCCGGGCGGGCTGAGCTCCAGCTTGCACCCCAGCGACTTCTCGCGCGTCTCGAAGAAGTACTCCGCGCTCCGCGGGCTCAGCGCCGTCGCGATGGCGTGCAGCATCAGCGGCATGAGCTTCTGGTGCAGCTCCGTGGCGAACGCCTGCACGAAGCCCGCCTGGAGGGCGCGCGTGTCCGCGGGGAGGAGCGCGGGCGTGGCGGGGTAGGTCTCGTCGAGGTAGCGCGCGATCCTGGCGGACTCCGTGACCGCGGTGCGCGTGCGCGGGTCGTAGATCACGGGGAGCGTGTACGGCCACGGCGCGACGGACGGCGGGTTCGGCTCGACTCCGAGGGCGGTGAGGACGGACGCGATGTCCGGGTACTCGACGAATTGCGTGCGGTACGGGAGGCCCTTGTAGTTGAGGGCGAACCTGGGTTGTGGAGGTCTAAGTGAGTAAACGCAGTTAAACGGGAAGATGCGCACCTCGTCTTCCAGCTGTTGGGCGACCAGGCGGTGCCGGGCACGGTCCCGGGGATGTCGTAAAAGATGATACGGTCGGTGTCGGGAAGCGTCATTGCGTTGGGTTGCAACGAGTTATGCGACGGTGGATGCGACGGTGTATTTACAGACACTGCTGAAGCACTGGAATGCCGGCAGCTGCTGTTGGCGCGAGACCTTAAATGAGTGCGCCAGGACCAGCCCAGTCGCTCTGGCTCACTCAGCGCTGTCTGCAAAACGCTCTGTCAGCGAATGTTCTTCAACAGACCCCGTAGCACATCATGGACAGATGAGTCACTGTCCATGCTTCGTGCTCAGAACGATCGTGCTACATTGAAAGCAGGATGCCAGTACCAGGGAGCTGCGACATTTAGTGTCAATGAGTTGCACAGTTGTTCTGAGGGATACGGACCTTTCTTTTAAAGCCCGAACTCAAGAACCAGAGTGTCAGGCAAGGATACGGGGGGCAAAAGGATGGATTTCTGGTGCGCTATGTGCGGTTGTCCGATGCAAAGTCCAACTGGGGCTGGGCGTTTCGCGCGACGCGCTTGCGTCAGGTGATGGCGTTGGATCACCAGCGTTCGACTATCCTGACTGACTGACTGACGCAATACTCGCGATACGCGCTTGGTAACAACCGCTGGGGTGACTAAATGGAATACCCTCCTCCTCCTCCTCCTCCTCCTCCTCTATAGACTATCCATGCCAATATTAGCAAGACGGAAGGAAGAAAGAGGTTTTCGAGCGTGAGGGAACTGGCCAGCGCGGAGAGGGGATAAGCGCCCTCCCGTATATCATGTATGTACGATGTCTCGACGGCTGAGGAAAGAGTATAGCTCCCTCCTCCGAGATCAGTCACGGCGGAGGAAATTGCAGTGAAGTGAGCTGTCTCCAAGCTGTCCCTGAACTTAAGGCTCAGAAGTCCTCGCCCGAAATGTGTACTGCAAGTTTGGTACACTCATCTGTGGACCTGAACAGAGCCGCTCCTAGGTTCCTCGCACCTTCTACCCCACACCAGTGTTCGCAAACAGGTCCAAGACTCTGCTGTCATTCCGTGTCTTCGGTGGCCTGATCCTGCGCACGAGCAATGACAGTGTATGAACAGTCTCACATGTACCATCAGCACAGAGATCGCGATGCAAGGCCGGGACGCAATCGTGCGCACTGTCTTACGTCGTGAGACGGGCATCCCAGGTAGTCAGCAGATCATGCAGTCCTCTTTAAAACTGAGGTTGTACATGGCTTTATCAACCGTCTTCTCCATCTTTTGCCAGTCCGCCCGTCGCTGAATGAACTCGTATACGTCCTATGTCATGAATGTGAGTCACTAACAACTAACAAACCGATCTCGAGTGAAATCTACGTACCTCCGGTTTGTACGCGCCCCCGTAGCGCGTCACATCGCGGACAATCTGGGCCAAGTCTTTCGCATCCTCGACCACGTAGACGTGCCCGAGCATCTTGAGGTACGAAACCTCAGCTGCGATGCTGCTGGCCTACACCGGGATCAGTACAGACTACGTGCCTGTCTCTTTACATCATACCTTCAATGACGAGATGAATGTATGATACGCATTCAAGTCAGCGATGACCTGGAATCCACCGTTGAGCGATATGATCTGCCGCTTCAAATGCTTCTGGAGGATGCTGCAACCATGCGGGCCCGGATTAGAACTCTGCCTCGATCGGGTGGCAGAGCAACGACTCACGCAATCAAGCGAATACCGATCTCCTGGTAGAAGACCTCGAGCACTTCCTTGCTCGTGCTCCCCTTAAGCAGCTGGCAATGCATCTTCAGGCACTGGATCGCCTCGACGCAGCCCTTCGACGGTCCCAGCTCGAGTGGAGAACCCTCTTGCGGGTAGTATGCGCGGGGGCCGGTGAGCTTCATGATAATGTGCTCCACCTACGCGAACCGTCGATGAGTCAAATGCCGCAAGAGTCATCCCGGTAGACAACATCATACTTGGTTCATTAGTGCATCAGTGCCAGCGTTGAGCCCGGCAGCGACGCAATCATCGAGCACATCTTCAAAGCGCTTCTTCTCACGTACCACGGCGTTCAGGAAGTCGGTACGGTCAATGTGGGGTGCCTATACCGCGTGCTCAGCCCCGACAATGCTCGAAATGTGAACACGACGAACTCACCAATTCCTTGTCGAAGTACACCTGGACCATACTCTGGATGGTGTCGCCCACATGCACCAGCTCGAAGAACTGGAGTAGGGGCGCGACACTCCTCGTCTCTTCGTGCTCCGCCGGCTGGTATGTCCTCATCTGCTGCGTCGCTCTGTTCAGACGAGTCAGCATCTCGCACATTTCTCCATCACGCGTCGACGAGGTACACACGTATCAAACCCGGGCTTGACGTGCCGCTCGCCGATTGGAGGAGGAGTACGAAAATCTCCTCGATCGTGTCCCGTACTCGGTGGCCGTACTGCCCCGGGTATCCCGAGAACGTCTCCGCTCGCTTGAGAGACTCGCGATCGGCGTGGATGAGCTCGAGGGCGATGTCGAGCGAGAGCAAAAGATCAAATTTGTCGAAGGCGGCGCGGGTAGCGGAGTGGACGTACGCGTAGAAGTCGAGGTTGAGGAAGACGTCGTCTTGGAGAGGATGGACGGTGTAAGCTGGGAGTGGGCGGTCGTACTCGACGACACGGACCCTAGTGTATATGTCAATACCCAAGCAAGCACTTACAGGCGTACACTCACATCTATCTGTCTTCTCATTCTCGATCTCCATATCCTTCTCATTTGCGAACTCATCTCCGTCCTCACCCCCCGCATCCCCGTCCGCATCCTCGTCCACATCCCCGATCTCGAACAACGTGCTCCCGTCTTTGCCCTTCTCGAAGTCTTGTGTATACCAGTTCTTCTTATAGTCCACACTCCCTCCCCGAGACTGCCGCCAAGAGCCGAGCTTCGAGAACCTCTTCCCAATCCCTCCTACACCACTGCCTCCCCCAACACTGTCCGCGTCACCCGCCGCGCTCGCAAGCCACTTCTGCGGGTTCAGCATCGAGATGCCCTGGACAGCCGCGGAGCCGCCCGCCGCGACGGCCTTGCCGACGGTAGCCGCTGTGCGCGGGACAATCGTCACGGGCAGGAGGAGTACATCCGTGAAGGACGCGAGCACGTTGCGCTTCACCTGCGCAGGGTTTGACGACCCGATGAATCGCACCTGCGTGTGTTCTGCAGTCGTCTGCTGCCCGGGGATGGCTGGCCCGGATGGCTGGAGGAACTGAGAGCGGGATAAGAGCCAAGGCAGGGTAATGTATAAGAGAGCGTACCTGCACTTCCCAGGCCCGACACGTTCGCTCGAAGCATGCTTTGACGAATTCAATCTCCTCGTCGAGATACTCGTCCATGTTCGGCTCGAACATCCGATACCTGCGTCCGAATATTAGACCTGCGCCGCGGAGGGAAAGCTGCGAACATGTACTAACGCGACGTCCTCCGCTTGGGCTTTCGTGACCAGCGAGTCGCTCCGCTCGGACGCGACCTCGAAAATGGCGTCGGTCATCCGCCACGCCTCCCTGAACGACGCGGCACATGCCTTGAGAAACGTCTCGTTGCTGAGCTCGCGCGCGCGGGTCAAGAGCGGCGCGACGTACTCGCCTACCTAACACCACCACTTCAATACAGAGACGTTAGGAATCGTCACTGTAGACTCACCACGTCCCCCGCTAGCCGATTCGCAAACGCGAGTGGCACGCCTGTCGCGGGCGGGAATACGCGAACCGCTCTCGCACCGTGCTCCCGGAGCGCCGCGAGGATCTCGCCCATGAACGCGTCCATCGCGTCAAAATCGAGTTGCCCGTCCTCCGCGAAGTTGTCCAGCGGGTGCCACTTCGCCTGCTCATAGAAAATCTCCCGCTTCTCGATCCACACCGTGCCCAGCTCCCAGCGCACCTCACTGCTCCCTCTGTCTGTCTCCCCAAAGCCAACGCTCCTCCCCTCGCCACCACTTCGATCCAACACTTCCCAGCTCGCCTCGGCCGCCTCGCGCATCCCGGCTTCGTCTGCTCGTCCATCCGCGACGTCGAATGCAGTAAGCAGGGCGTCTTCAAACCGGTCCGTCGCGGCTCGTAGCGCAGCCGAAAGCGCTGACCACGAACGCAGTGGTTTTACGCGTGGAGAAAGGAATAGCGCTAGAAGGCGTAGCGTATGTGCCTGTTGCAGCGGTGTCTGGAACGGCGAAGGCGAGGGTGCGGAGGTTGGAGGAAACAGGGTGGAGAGGACAGTATGTGGGGGTGCGTAGAGCGCGGGGACGAGTGGTTTGAGGAGGGTGTGTACGCGGATGTACTGCGCGCGATAGGTCGGTTTCGGCGGCGGCCCTGGTGACGTTGGTGTCGCGAATGTAGGGAAGGCAGAGCCCGGACGAGGCGTACCAACGGTTGAGAATGCACCTAGAAAAGACTGAGGGATATGTCCCCGACAGGAGAATGCACTACTCACTGACGAAGTCACCCATCTCATCCGCAGGCGCATTCAACACCGCCGAGCCCTCTCCGCCGGACGCGAAGTCGCCAAAGTCGTCGTCGCCGATGTCGACCGTCAGCGTCGGGGGCGCGCCGCCCTTGCTCACCCCGTTGCGCTCTCTCTCCCGCTCCTCCAGCACGCCCAGCACCTCGTGTAGGTGACCCTTCCCTTTCCTGCCTGTGTCCGTACTCGCGCGCCCACCTGCACCCGCACGCTTCCCGTAACCCTGCACGTCGTCCCCCAGCCCGTCGTCCAGCCCGAACAGCCGCCATCTCGCCTCCCACACACGCTCGTCGCGCACGAGCGCGCCGGTCGCTCGGCATGCCTGCGCGTACGCGGGCAGGTCGGGCACGGCGAGGTGCGTGAGCACGACGATGTGCAGGTCGGCGGGAAGCCGGCCGATCCGTTCGAACGGCGCGGGCCCTCGCTGGCGGGCGTGCGCATTGGCGAAAGGCGAGCTGGAGGGTGCTGCAGGGCGCGGTGTTAGAGGCGAAAAGCGCGAAAGGCGGTTCTTGGACGAAGCCGATGGAGGCGAGGCAGCAGGAGAGTTGTAGAGTCGGACGGGCTCGAGGGTCGTGAATTTGTCCCTGCTGATGTCTTGTATACGCGCATGATGGTTGTCTTATGGCCGGACAAGATGGCAGATATAAGGAGCAGAGTTATCGAGCAAGTCAGACGAGAAGAAGGAGGAGGAGGAGGAGGAGGAGTAATTGACGGACGCGGGCTCGCGACCGAACGCGCTTCTACTGCGCGATGCTGTTATATTCCGGCTACCTTCGGATACATATGCATGTATGTACTTAAGTACTGCGCATGTACCGCAGAAACCTTACCATGTACTTTCGCAGAATGGTAGGCGATCAGGTGCGACGGTGAACGTACTCAAGACTGTGATGATGGTAAGTATTTTACCACGAAAACGTCACTCATACGACATGCTCATCGCATCTCTCCTCGATGCAACTCATGACCACGACCCACAGACTGCCAACGTCGGTGACTCGTTCGCAGTACCACAGCCGCGGCATCGAGCCTTCTGTGTGAGAGTTCATGTCTCCCCTTAATGTACGTGTACATGAATCCAACTCTGACGTCGTCATGTTTTGTTCCGTGCTCCGCGACTACCTTTAATACCGCCCGTTCAGCATGTCGGCCCATGTGTTGCTTCCAAGCTGCTTGTATTATCAACGCTGTCCTAACGCTCGTTCGAATTGGCCTTTTGCCGTATCAGAAGCCCCACTGCTCGTCCGAGCCTCGAATTGTCTGTTGCAGGTCAGGTCGGAAGTCCAACGAAGTGCTGCATACTGTATAGCAGCACTTTGGGCGCGGGCGGGTGGATAGTTTCACTCGGTCGTAGTCATCACAATGGATGCGACAGTTGACTAACAATCTCACCCCTTCGACCAATCCGCACCGCTTCAACTGCCCGTTCAATCACAAAGAAGGGCCTTGGAATCGGACGCGGTACGATCCAACTTGCGGTGCACAACCACATGATCCTCAGCACGATGACGATACTTCTTCTATGCTTTTGTCACAGTCCGGCGCGGCGAGTCGAGTAGGATCCGACTTCTGGCCTCGTGTAGGACACGTCGTTTGGCCCCTTCGGCGTTTGTGATTGATGATGACGGACTCCAGACCCCAGCGAATAGCGAAGGCCTCTTATCATGGCGACTCGCAGCGCGGAGAGCATGATGTTCGGCGCTCCGAACGAAGGACAGTGGTCGATCAGAGTGAACGGGCGTGCCGGCGTATTTGGGCGCGTTCCAGCAGAGGTGTGTCGCCAGACATCCCGGTGGCCCATCTGTCTCATCTCCTTCCGTCTATGCGCAGGCCGACGAGTGAGACGTCATCCGCCGCCATTCAGGTCTGTGTCGTGCTTCGATGAGTTCTATCTGGCGGAACGCTCGCCGGGCCGACGAATCATCGACCCAGTTGTGGAAGGTGCGATGCCCTATGTATTTCTCTGTACTGACAACATAACAAACCCGTTGCCCCCGGACTGCGAGTGATGAAGACACGGTTGCGGTTGCGACCCATTCGGCAAAATGAGGCTGTTCGAAGACGGCGTGTACGCGGGGGCATTGTGCGGAGACGCCGTTCTCCTTGGGTCGTGCAAGTCCTCATCTCCCGTCTCCTGTGTCCTGCGCCCTGCGATCCCCAGCGACTACCGCGACATTGCCTGCCTTCGCCCTCTCTCGCGCTGGTTGTCAGGACCGCTGCTGGTGTTGTTATCGACCTACCGAAGTACGTGAGAAGCAGTGTTGTTGAGACATTGTAGATTGACGTATATCCGCGTTCAGGGACTGTCCGTAGAGATCCATAGCTAACTCGCTGCACACCGTTGGACGGTCTTCACCCGATCGCGGTAGCCAGGAGGTGCGCTTTATTCCTTGATATGTCTTAGCTCTGCGATTTGACTTGATACCAGTAAATATCCTTCGACTTGCGCGAATAATGTTTGATGAACCCGAAGAGATCGAGATTCACTTCACGCCCGCTGTCTATACAAGGTACGGTCCTGTTCGCGTCAATCATTGCATTGCTCATGCCCTCCCAGTAATGCATCTCCCACTATGCCGCACGAGATCATCAGCGTTCGTGAAAACGCCGAAGAGCCGTATGCACACATTTCCTCTACGTGTGTCCGGATGCCTTCTCTCGGCGGTCGAGCACCTCTTTATCTCACAGCTAGACTGGATTACGCCGGTCGCGGAGACGCAGCAGTTGTATGCGGCTAGTGGGATACAACGCACCGTCAGCGGCACCGTCAGCGCGTCCTTGAGTGGGACACAGTGATACTCACAGCTCAGTATGTAGATGAGGGTCGTGTCGGTGTCCAAGATACCCGCCTCGTTGGGACAAAAAGAGCATCTCGGGGCCGTACGAGATGGTCTGGGTGATGCCGACGTAGTGTCCGGCCGGCTCCATCGACGGTGGGTGCACTCAGGAGGTGCACAGCGAAACAGGGCGCGCCGGCCTATCGCAGACTACTGGCTGCGAGTGCACCATAGGGTACGCAGTCGAGGGTAGTGGGTACTACGACTCACCTGTGGTTTGGACGAAAGGGCGCACCGGCCGAGAAATAGCGAAGCAGTCAGGCGTGGCAGGGTGAACGCGAACGTGTGCGGAAGACGACAGTGGTAGATGAAGCTTTGAAAGGCAGGTTCAGATCTTCAGACGGGGTTGCGGAGCACAGTGGCGCAGTGGCGCCGAAATAAGCGCCTGTCAGTAGTCCTCCCTCCGAAACTCAAGTCATTTATCCTCGTTGAGTTGTCACGCCCACCAGCAGGACCACTTCAGGGAGGGATATACTGGTAAAATTGTACCTCACAAAACTCTCAAATTAGCAGAGGTCGCCCAATTGCCCGAGAAAATCCATTGGCCAGGGCCAACATCGCCCTCGGCCGCGGCGTGTTCACCTCGACTCAGGCTCTACGATTGTCTACTCCTACTGCTACAACCTTGTCTATTTATCTACTAACTCTACCCATCCGACCGAACTTGCCTGCCATCTCCGCGAGATGATGCGCTTCCGCGTCCCTCGAGGCGTCGGACACAGCCCTGCGATCGCATACACTCGCGGGCGGCCACGTCGACTCTGCTGACAGGCTCCACAGACATCCGGGACATGGGCAGACGGGTGTGATCATCTTGGTGGGTCCCAACTGGGTGAGACACTAGGAGGTCGAGGATACGACGGGCGCCATGAGGACACAGACCCTCTGCGTCGAGAACCTGCGGCGGCTGAGGGATGGCGAGGAGGTCTGGAATCGGGTTGACATCAAGAGGGGATATTAAATGCAAGATGTGTTGTGCATGTCGCATGCTTTCACGGCAAGAGGTAGAGATGACATAGATCTAGAACAAGCATGCTGGGATAGAATCCCGCTCTGTATGGCAGAAACTTGAGGTACTTACCTTGCGACATCACTAGGCATGCGACAAACCATGTTGACTTCACACCAAAGTACGCGAAGCACCAAAGGAATCGCTATCCCAGAAGTCAGGTCGTTAAGAAATGTAAAGTACGGCTATGCGCGGCTATGGATACAAGTGAACTGCAATGATGTTAGAGCTACACCAGAGCGTCAAGTCAAACAAATGCCCGCATCGTCGTGCAACGACGGGGTTGACTGAAAATGTGTTGTCCGGTTCGTGAGTTGAGCGTCAAGCTCTTCATTGGACCGTGAAGCTAGTGGCGCACCTGGTCAGCGCGTGCTGCCCGACATAGGATCGCGAAGGACTCACTAGACCATGTCATCGAGCGAACCGTGCTGTGCGACCGCTACGAGCACCGCCTGGTGGTTCGCCGCGGCGTTGATGCTCGCCATCCTGTACGTGCCCTTCCAAAGGCCCGTCGTCGACAGCTGCCCGTTCTCCGCGACCGCGTTCAGGCCCGAGAAGAACGCGAACTTGGTCGGATCCGTCGGGTCCGTCTGGTTCATGCTCGTGATCGCCTCATGGATGAGGCCCGTGCTGGCGTTCACCTGCTGCGACGCGGCGAAGTAGTTCGTGTTGGGGTTCACGGACCAGCCCGTCTCGAGGTTGCGGATGGCGAGGACGACGGTGAAGTTCGTGTTCGCGAGGACAGACCCGAGGTTGGGCGGGTAGACGAACTTGGCGGAGGGCATCGCGGTCGTGGCGGCGATGGCACCCATCGGCGCGGCGTTGCACGAGCCCGCCTTGACCTGGGTTCCGTTCGTGAGCGGGAGGTTGACGGTGGAGCAGTAGTTGATGAAGTTATTGGAGGAGGTGATGGAGGCGATTTCGCCGGACTCGGAGCTGAACCTGGGGCGTCGCAATTAGGGAGGGCACACTGTCGCTCAAAAAGCGCAGTTAGTCGTTCGTGCCGTCATCCTCGAACCCGGTGTTGATCAGCGAGTCGAGGAGCGTGAGCGAGGACTGGGCGGCGGTGTCATTTCCGCTGCCCGTAGCAGTGCTACTCGGCGCAGCCAACACGGACACGCTGGTCGCAGCACCTCCGGTAGCACTCGCTGCGACAGAGGACGTCGCAGAAGACGTCGAGTTCGAAGATGACGAAGCCCCGGTAGCAGCAATGCGTTGTTGAAGATCATTCTGTGTCGTGCAGGTGATGCTCGTGCCCTGCGAGTTGACGAGCGGGAGCGCGGCGCAGCTACACGGGTTGGTCAATATCCCTGACTGCAGCGAAGATAGAGATAGAACACAACGTACATCAATCCGGTTCCGCACGACTGGAGCACGTACATTTGCCGGCAAGGCATTGCGTGAAGGAGTTGTTGACGCATGCCATGTCAGTGCCAGTTGTGCAGGATGAGTCAGCCGTCAGGCTCGCAAACTGCGCGCTGAAAGGGGGCCACATTGTCAGGCCTCGTATGCAGGATGACGCATGTGATCGTCACACACTTTTGAGCCATCGCTTGCTGGCCATTCTGCAACGCGAAACCGCTGTCTCGGGACAGTATGTGGCGAGGCAGCGCCATGGTGGCGGTGGCCAGAGACAAAGCCAGAGCAGCAGAGAACTTCATTTTTCAGTCTAGTGATTCGGGAGTTGCGAGCGAAGTCCTGTGTCCGGTGCGTGCTGAGTGGGCAGATGCACGTCAGGCCGCGTGACCAGTGGAGGGTTGCTGTGCGGAGCATGGGCGCGGAGAGCCAGAGGGCGGAGGTGAGATGCGCGGGATGTGGACGTGTAGGAGAGGGAGGCATAGTCATAGTGCATGCACGAGGAGAGAAGAGTGGAGAGGGCTGAGACACTGGCGGTGTTCTCGGCTCGTACTTCCTCGCGAATCTTCCTGTTCGGTGGCCTCTCCTCCCCCTCGAGACGAGTCCCGGTCCTGCACTTGTCCGCATGGCTCATCTGTCTATCTCGCTGTCGCCCTGCGTCAGCGAGGGGACTTGCTTGTCTTGAGGGCTGTCCGTGTGTGGTACGGTAGAGGTCGGGTCGCCAGGGTGCGAGAAAGGTGACACGCGCCGGCCTGCCTGCTGACGGAGGTTGAGAACCACGGGTCGAAGCTGTCGTAGCGTACAGGTTCCTCTGCGAAGGCGGCCGAGAACACTGGTCCGCCGGTATAACTGCTCGGCGACAACCGATGGAACCGTCGTGCAGCGCCGCAAGGCGAGAACGCGCGTGTTCTCTGTTTGAGAGGGCCCGCAGACGTGGCACACTTGGGGAGAGATCCGTGCCATCCCGGAAGCTATGCGGGGTCGTAGGCGGGGTCAGGTAGGGACCGGGATTTGGGACGTATGTCGTCGCAGAATTGAGGATTTCGCCGTCGCTCCTGCTGCGTAGTAGGGAGCGTTTGCCCGGGCCGCTGCTCGTCTCGACGTTCATGTCCTTACCGAGCCAGAGACGCCATTTGATTCGAGTGCGTTGCCAACGGCGCGTTTGCACCGACCAATCTCACGTGGTGGTAAGCCTGCGAGCTTTGCCCACGCACGATTAGAATAATACAAACGGGGAGACTTTGCGCAGCCCCGAGCTCTTGCAGGTCACCGCGGGAGAGGGCTCGAATGGTTTGGTAGCGACACAAGAGTGGTGGTCGAGGTAGCCTCAGAGGACCTCGATGCACGCAAGGTCCAGGGCGCGTCGAACGAGGACGGGCGCGTAGCTGCAGAGCACGGACGTGAAGGAACAAAGGCGGATGTGAAGGCGCGTCGAGGAAGGATGCGAGGGCGAGTGACTTCGTACTCACTGAAGTCGTTCCGATTCTCCCGTCTGCGCCGGTCCATCCGCGCGCCAGTCAGTGCATCCTCCAGGTGCTTGGCTGAGTGCACAGGCGTGCTCAGAGGCATGACCAAGCCCCGCTATGCTTGAAGGATCGAAGACCGGACTGGAGCTTCGAGACGGCGTTGCCGAACTGTCCTCGAGTCCACGCATTTGGATTGTGGTCTGGGCCATAGTGTGCTGCGCCTCGAGGCAGAACTCGGGCGCCGTCTCGAGCTGTTTTGCTCCTCCTCAACCATACCCGTCGGCTCTGGCGTCCCTGGTCGACCGAGTTCGTCTCCGTCGCCTCCGCTCTACGTCGTCTTCCGCAGCCAGCTGCTCCTCATCTTCCTCGTCCACCCTCTCCAGCTTGTGTGGGACGATCGTGTTAATGCTTCGAGCGTCATCATATCGGAGATGTAGTGTTCTTCGGACGATTGCTCATGGTGCCAGTTGCGCACGCTGAGGCTTCGAAGCATCTCCATCTGGCGCCGACGTTCGTCCATGAGCTCGCGCATCGTGCCCACTTCGCGCTCCTGCGTCGGCGTACCAAGGGTAGCGAGTCTGTGCTTATGTGCTTATCGCGGACTACGGATTGCGAGTGCGACTGACCGTCAACCGTCTCCCGCTAATGGTGGCACAAGTCGTGCACCGTGTTCAGGTACGACGCACGTACAAATCGCAGACACGATGGAGCCGTGGAGGAGGAAGGGGCAGAACGCGCGGCGGAGTGAACACGAACGCGAGGGGAAGACGAAGAGGAACGCAGTACAAGGATGGCTCAAATCACGATCCTGGTGATCGTGCAAGCTTGACCGATTTAAGCGCCTGTCAATACTGCCTCACACCGATACTCAACTCATTTATCCTCGTTGAATCATCACGCCCACCAGCGACAAAACTTCAGGATGTGATATGTTGGTAACATTGTACCTTAGAAAACTTTCAGGTTAGCAGATGTCGCCCAACTGACCGAGAAAATCCAATGGCCAGGGCCGACATCGCTCGCACCTCGGCCGCGGCGTGTTCTCCTTGACTCTGCCCGGACTATATTGCTGGCGCTCTGCTTAGTCTAACACACCTCCGCCTCGACTCGATTACGGTCCATTTTGCGCCTCAAGCTTTCAAGCTCTCAATAGTATGGGGCAGAATTTCCTGCTCTCTGCGAAGCGGAAGCTCCGATCGCTGCTGCTTCGGATGTGTCAGCAGTGACTACGCCTCAGGCCTCAGGCCTCAGGCCTCAAGCCTCAGGGGCCGCTCACATCGAGTCGCTTCACCGGAGCGTGCTCAATGTTCTGGCTGCATACATGAACGTCAACAAGCTGTCGCTAGACACGACCCATTTCTTTCCATTCTCACATCTCTTGCGGTTCCTCTGTGCCTTCCCCGATCTTCAAACAATTCACTGTGTGGAAATACCAGAATGGGAGCTTCCGTCTGACGAAGCCATAGTATTGACCACAGTAGTCAAAGACGTGAAGGCATTCACCGACGTCTCTCTTGAGAACATACCTTCAGCATTTGCTGCACTATTCTTCAAGCTGTTTGCGAACAAGTGCCGCGATCTGCGGCATCTTCACATCCAGCTTGTGGATTCAGGCCGACTCGGCCCGTACTGACGTGGTTTGTGCATGCGCTTCCGTACGTCGCTGATCCCCTCGCAGTCTGCAGAGTGGCCCCTCGAGACGATCTTGCAGTAGAGCGTTGCGCTGGTAGCGCGGTATGTACTCTGGAGCGGGCTGGGTCGCTAAGCGGTATGCATCCGCCATAGAGGTGGCGAGATTGGGATGGCGAGAGGAATGAGCGACCAAAAGGAGGCAGAGAGAACGTTGGGTGACATGCGGATGCATACGATCAGAGAGCGTCGTGCGTGAGCAATTGAGACACTTACTCAGCAAATACGGTGCCACGCGTGTGCTTACGTCCACCGTCCGCGCGCGTCCGTCCTCGCGCTTCTGGCCTGCCGGTACGTAGAGCACGTCCGAGTGGTCGTCTGCTGGCCCAGTCGACGCTGCGCATCCCGCCTGGTCAAGCGTCTGAATCTTCTCGGCATGAGTAGCGAGCGATGATCGAGTCTCGCAGAACTGGCTCTGCAACTCGTTCAGGGCTTGTGTCGTGCATTTATTGGTACAACGCTCTGGGGCTGAGGCGGCATGATGGGGAAGAACTGAGGGAGGCGGATCGTGAGGCTGAGCAGCACGTCTTGTTTAGCCGTCGGCCTCGGAGCTAGTCCCAGAGTGAACGCACCAGTGTTTTACGCTAATTTTTCCAGCTCGAACGCGAGGCTCATGAATGCGCAGAGAACGCGCGCTGCATACTATGTCGATACTGGATTCCTAACGTGAAGCATGTCTGTTTCAACGCGAGCGACGTTGGCGGGTGAGGAGCGTACGTACGGATATGCCTTCGGACTGACACTCAAGCTCTTCAGGACTCGGCCGCTCGCTGTTGATAGACGTTCCATTAGAGCTCTTGCGCTTGACGTCCTTAATGCGGAACTACACTACACATGGCCGGGTGTGGTGCAACTGGTGAGATTTTCCCGTCCCCGCCCGCCCTGCGACGTACCTTTGCACCCTCCTCCCAGACTTGAGGAACGGCTGCCTCTGTTGCTCAGCGGGTGAAGATAGAGACAGGGAGGCGGGCTGGAGAAGGGAGGAGGCAAGACGACATTCGCAGCCACCAGTAAGTTATTGAAGGAGGAGCAATACTTAGCGCTAATAGTGGCTGATCACCGAGCGATCGAGTTGCGCGCGTGACTTGGACGAGCGCCTGTGAGTACTTGCTCCTACTCGCTCTCGCTGGTCCGAAGTTGTTTATCCTCCTTGAGCCCTCACTCGCACCGACGTCAAGCTTTGACATACTGGTGCGTCAGCTGTTTCCCATCTGAGGAAACTTTCAGAATAGAGAAAGTCGGCCAACTGACCGCGCCCCGCAGCCTCATCTGGCTATTCCGTATATGGCAGTAAGTTACATAAGCATGCACTCTCCCGAACGAAATTCAATTATCCTCCTTGTATGCCCCAGCCTCCTCTCGTGAACACATCATGTACTGACTGTAATGCGTATGATATATATGTAGAAACCTTTATAAGAGACGAAGTGTGCGAGGACAACGCATAGTAGCCATAAGCTTCACTGCATGAGTCGGCACACTGTAGCACGTGATCCAAGATTTTGGCTGAGCGTGTGCGAGTGCATCTCCCGTCTCCGCGTCTAGTCTACCGTCCTTCTCATCTTCTTTGCCGCCACTCCTCTCATGTCGAATTTTTCACCATCTGCAACCTATGAACCCAAGTCAAGAAGATCGCGTGTACCTCGATCGTGTGTACCTCGTCTGTATGTGAGTAAGCCGCAAGCCCGATCATGCCGCTGCCAACACTCTCATGCACATGTTTCAGTATCCCGGCGTTATCGACAACAGCAGCCTCCCTCCCGCACTACAACTCCATCTCAGTGACGATGAGGAACAAGCCGCGTCCCGCCCCTTCGCTCTCGAGACGCTCTTTCAGGCCGGCCTGCGTACGTCCGACCTGTCTTGGGTCTTCTCTGGTTCTCACACTATTCGCAGCCCTATTCCTTGATCCACCCGCTGATCGGATCCCCTTGTCTCCGTTGTTGAACGTGAGTTCCTCTTCGTACTCTTTGTCACAATCTTGGTCTGATCTTCCTCGCTCATCTTGCCCGCCCCCATACCGACTACTTTGTTACGCTGCTGGATGTACTCTCGGGACAATATATATTTGCGTTGTCTGGATGTTTCTCGGTGTCACGCCAGCAGATACTGGGCGAATGCGACAGTCCGGATGGCCGTGCGTGCAACACTGCTAGTGCGACGCCGCACGGTTCGATCTCGATGGTGGCACACCCATCCTTCGCCTCGTTGGTCGAGTGCAATGCAGCAGAAGCGAACTCGTCCGCCGCCCGCCTGGATCTCTGGCGCTTCGCGGATGCGAATCTGCCTCCGCGAGTCGGTCCACCAATACTTAACAAGCAGCGGCGTCTTCCTCTTCTACCGCCTCTGGCGCCTCCGCACCTTTTGAGTCTCTACGGTGCCCATCCTTACCCGGCGGAGTCCTTGCTCCGCCAGCCCCCTACCTGTCATCTTCCGCCTTCCATCTCATTCACTGCCCTCTTTCTGGCTGGGCGACTCGGGCTATGCAGGTAGTACGTCTCCGTTGTCAACCAGTCCTTCCTGATCCCTTTCGCTTCCTTAGTCTCCGAGTTCGTCATGCCTTCGTCCGCGCCGTGCTCACCCACTGTGCATGCGCAAGCTCAAGCTCAAGCCTTGCACACCACCGACCTGAGCTCGCTGCTATCTTATCATGTTAGTTTTCGAGAACCCACCTGCCAATTCTCTGTTTCTCTGTCTCAACCTCGCGCGTCCGGCGGGATTCGAGCTTCAAGTGCATGGCTTTCCAGGGTGAGACCTGAGACCTCACGGGATATTGTCTGGGCGGCATGATCTGATACTGATATACTCATTCTGACGTCGTAGCAACATCGCTCAGCTCAACCCCGCAAGCCTAACGTCGATTCAGATACGTGGTGCTCGGATACGTAATGCTCCTTTCCCGATAGGCCGTGTCGACGATCTCACTTGCTGAGACCACAAACAAGGAACTACGAGATGGTGAACTTAGTCAATGCCGCAGGCGAACGTTTCCCGAGAGACAAGCTACTCCTCTGCGATGGCCACCTGACTTCAGGCCTGCGCCAAGACACTAAACACATCGCATTTCGGAATGCTTTCCCTTACGACCAACGCTGGACGAGGCCACGCGCTCATCGTCCAATCCTTGCGCGTCCTTAGCGCTCCTTATCTGCAAGAAATGCAGCTCTCTGCCCTCGGCCTTACGCACGCACCTGCTCCATACATCGTCGACAACATATCCTCCCGCATTGCCGCCTCCGCGCTGTGTGCGAACGGGAGTAGACTGGGTCTGCACAGCGCACGATACACCGGCACAATCTCACACTTCCCAAGCTTTGAATGCACGCCAACGGACTTGGGGAGGCAGACACACGTGCGTCGGGCAAAACGTCCCCTAGCGACGACAAGGGGTGCGCTGCGGGTAGATAGAGCCATCTGGCAAGACAGCGAAGGAGCTGGCGCAAGTACTCCAGTGAAACAGGCTATTGAGAGAGGCAACAGAGCATGAGGCCCTCAGCTTTCGCCGATACGCGAGGAATGCGGGCGCACCTTCCATGTCGAGAGATAGTACCGATGTACCAGAGACAGCCTGTTTTCGCTACTACACTACAAAATACTGAGTCTGCCCCGTTTTGCAAGACCCCTGTATCCACCCCAAATCCCGCCAAATACCTCTTCTACAAATGGCCTCTTTCGGGGATCCTTCAGGTTATCGCTCGATGAGTACAGTTGCTTTGTCAATCGTTCGTTCAATGAAATCTTCTTGACTTTGTCCTTCAATTTGCTGCCGCCTTCGATCGCCTTGCTGCTGTCTTTGACCGCCTTGATTTCAGGTAAGCTTTCTTCGTTTTCCGCCGACTTGGAGGTAGATGAAGGTGACTGGGCAACATGGTCACCGTCGGACCTGCGAACCTCGAGGCCACTATCCGGCTCAGCGATCGGGTAGTAAGAGGTGATGAAGTCTTGGATTGGCTGAGCTGCAGCGGCGTCATCCATGGCTTGTTTCTCAGCTTTCTCAGCAGCAGACTGTGCCTGCCGCGCCTCAAGAATGCGAGCAGGGATGGGTTTGAGGGCTTTGCGGAGTTCAGCAATCTTGGGCGCCACTGATGGGCGACCACGTTGGCCTGTGCGCTCCTAGGAAACTCCATCAGGCTCTGAAGGTGTTCATAGATCACAACCTATTTGTGTACCTTTCTAGGACGCCCACCGCGTCGTCTCTGTTCAATGGCTGCCTTTAGGTCAGGCATATTCTGATTCAGGGCATTGAACTCGGAAGGGCCAATCTTGGAGGCTCGCCCAAACTCGATGACATCCTTTGCCATTCGCTGCCAAGTATAATTTGTGTGATTACCAGCCTACCTGGTGAGAAATGTATACACGCACCATCGTGCCATCGAACCAGCTTGTTGGACTCTTGGCGACCACAATCGTATATGCATCGATGTGCTTGCCTTTGTCCAGCATGTGATGGACTGGAACATTCAATACACGCTCGCGATTTGATGAGATGAATTGCTTTGCGCGCTCCACATCGTAAGGTTTGCCTGTTTCAAGCTCAGTCAGTGTGAAAACAAAGGATGCCAGTGGAAGACTTACCAAGGACATGGTCCGGGTCAAGGTTACCATTGCGAGCATGGCGATTGAATATACTGACGTTCACCGTGGTTTCTGCTTTTCGAAAGACGAGGAGGCATCTCTGGCGGTACTTGTGGCATGAGGTTGAGTTCCAAGCAAAGACTGTGAGCGAATTCGCAGCGCCGCAACAGTCCTTCAAGTATTTGTCGGAGACCCAGTAGGCCATGTACGCAGGGAAGAGGCTTTTGACGACATCATAGTGGTACCGGAAGACAAGGCTTGTGGGCATGCTTGGTGCAAGGCCCCAGAAATGGACAAGATCACTCGCCGTGTGCCGGCCAATACCATTGCAGATGTCCCCGCGCTTGCACAACCATGACACGATTGGTGTGCTAGCATCTTCGTATTCGAGTCCGCTCAGAATGCGGTTGTGAAACTTGTCTAGATTCGCCATGAATCGCACCGGCTCGAGGTTGATATCGGGGCCATCACCGAAGTATTGCCAGATCTCCTCGTAACGCTGGAGGCACATTAGCTTAACAGCAAGAACAAGTCTGGCATTGTCACATACCGGACCCCCCGGGACCATGTCGGTTTGCGACCATGGAGTGTCGACACTGGTGACATGAATGCGGGCCAGGCGAGAGAAGTCAATAAGGAGCCACACGCGGTTGCCGAAATAAAGTGCCATATGGACTGTCACCCTACGATCTGTAACCTTTGAAGTCCCTGCTTTGATGAACTCAGGTGGGATGCGGAACTGCCGCATCAATTGAGCACGCCCAGGCTCTTCGTTAGTGCCCTCCACATCTCCAGCGTAGATTTGCTTCCATTCTTCTAGAGTGACCGAGTGAATGTGGCCTTCAAGCCCCAAATGGATGGTAAAACAGTCCTGTCAATCATCTTAGGCAGTCAATTGCAAGTAAAATTTGCGGGTGCATACCCGACCCAGTGCAAACGCTATCTGCTTGCCCCGCACTGCTACTAGAACATCATCTGGCGGTTGTGGGCGAAGAAGATATGCATATGGCTGACCGGCGGCGCGGCGCACATCATGCTCATGAATTTCGATGTCGGTTGGAAAGTCGGTCGCCCCGCTGTACGCCGAGGTATCCACTGTGCAGGTAGTATACGGATGCTCATCCGATCCCAAAGCAAATGCACGAGGGATCAGCTGAACATATCCTAGGGTACAACATCAGTTCCATCCAGTAGACTTAACGATCAATCCCTCACCTTTGGGCCGCGCGCCATGATTGACCTGGTACTCCCTCATGAATACTCGAAAGTGATGGGCGAAGGCCTGATATTCTGGATATTCGGGCATACCGGTACCAGACTTGGAGATAAAGATATAGTCAGCCAAAGGCTCATGAGGAGTCAATAGGCATACACGCACCAGCACCTATGGGCACCTACGAAGAACACCACGCGTGTAGAGGACAAGTGTTATTCTAAGCGCCGCGTAACTTAGAAGTGAGTCTACGCTTGGTCGCAGGAGGCGCGCATCGCTCTCACCAGGAAAAGGCGAATTCGGCCATAGCCGCCGCCCCATAGCGTACTGTAGACGAGCATAGATGGTCCATAATGGTCCATAGGGATGACTCACAGTAGATAGTGAGCTATCGCGGCTGTATTCACAAGTTTATATATCAGTGCTATAAGTCCTGGCATTGAATTGACATGAGCTGCCGGTTCGCCAACTTACAGTGTCACTGACTCGCAAGTCTCGACAGAATATCGCTTCAGTGCGAGGATCAGAGTCTGAGACGGAAAGACATAATATTTGTACGTCCTACTACTAAGGATACACGACATGTGAAGCCCTGAGAGGTACGAGTTCACCCGGAGTTCTGTTGCAAATCGCGCTTGCTCATGATCGCGCATGTCTCCCGTATGAATGAACGCAACCATCCACACGTTCTCCATCGGCTTTGTTAGCTCCCTCACGTACTCGTACTTGCCCGGCCCTCGCCTGGTCGAACCGGACACCGAGGATTTCGACATACAGGTTCGTCTGTCGAGCGAGCAGGCATGTGAGCGCCGTGCGCAGACGATGGCGGGGGCGACGAGACGTACCCATATCGAAGCCCCAGCGCCCCGCCGCGGCGCAGTGTCTCCTGCCTGCCAGTGCGGGGTCCGCGCCGCCTGTGCGCTCGCGGATCCGTTCTGCGCCTGCCCCTGCACGTGTGCGGCGCGGAGCTGTTCTAGGAGTTCCCGCCGCTCCTCGTATACGAGCTTCATCACCTCTTCTTCCTGTGAAGAAGACTGCGCACGCTCCTCCTCGAGCGCCGCGATCCTCGCGTAGGTTCTCCTCCGTGCGTGTCTGACCGTCTCGCGCCTCGCGCCCCGCCGCCTCGAGCGCCACCACCTTCGCCGCGGGCTCCCTCTTCTGCGCGTCCAGCTCTGCGGCGCGTGCGAGGACTTGAGTGTATCGGTTGGCCGAGCTCCCGTTCCTTCTCACTCATCTCCGTCTGGAGGCGAACCTTGACCTCCTTGAGCGTGACGCACTCCGCCTCATGCACGGCCGCGCGCTCGTCCGGCGACTGCTTCGCGAGACGCTCCGCTTCTGCCGTGCGTTCGACCTCGGCCAGTCTGCCTTGCAAGAAACCGACGAGCTCGTCCTGCACGTTGGTTGCTTCCTTCGCTTGCTTCAGCTACACCATATTGTCGTCAGCCACCATCGATTGGTCGCGTTCAGACACAAGACGCCCTCACCTCTTCCCGGATGGCAAGCGCAGTCTGAACCTCATCCAATGACCCGAGCTCCTCGCGCTTCTCCTCGATCGCCTCCTGGAGGCCCTTCATCTCATTCTGCGCCTGCTCGAGCTCGCGCCGCATGTTTCGTGTTCGTGCTCGAGCACGTGCGACCACGCCCTCCTTGCTGCGCAACGATGCGCGGGCCTTGTCAACCTAACAACTCGGACACATAGCGCGTTCCAGCACACCTGGCTCTGCACGTAGCTGGGATTGACCAGTCCACCGGCTCCTCTACATGCATAGAGCCCCGTCAGCGACCGCCAAATCTGCCAGACTTGCAGTGAGATTAATGACCCACCCGATTTGCAGTCCTTCGTACCTACTGAACCAATCGACTGCCCATGCGGCGCCCCACACCAGTCACGCCGCCACATCCTCCAGGATCGCCCACGCTACGAGAAGTACCGGCGCATCCTACGTGCGGCGAGCACACGACGAGCGCGGAGAGACGTCGTAGGCTGCGATTGGCAATGCTCATGGCGGACCGGAGGGGAGAGAAGCTGGAGAGAGATCGATGCTTAAAACACGGGCCGTGCGCGACGCAGAGATAACCGTTATAGATTCGCTATGGTCTTCATCCGACCTTGGCGGGCCGGCCGACCCCATAGCAGAACCCAACGGCGCAGTGATGCGAGTGGAAGTCGTTGCACCGGAATCAAAGATTGACGCATACTGGCATCCGCGCTGCTTGTGCCCCAGACCGAGACTCTCCGAGTACCTACTCCTGCCCTCCTCCCAGAGCACGCACATGCATGTCTTCGTGTGCCGGTCCCGCTGCTCTTTGTAGGCACCGGGTCGTGAATGGGCCGTGCCTGCGGCAGCTGTAAGGTCAGGAAATGCCTGGCCCTCGAGTTGGGTAGGCGCGGGGATCGGGAGTGCGTCTGTTCAATGGAAGGGAGGAGATCCAGGTGAAGAGGCCGGGCAATACGCACGGGCGAGAGCGCGGTGGTGGCTTGGTGTGAGTCTACGGAGGAGTTGGGCCGACCATGAAAGGGAAGAAGGGCATACGAAAGGATTTGAGGTTCAAGTAGGCCGTGAATGCGGTGTTGTAGTAGGCTGCCAGAGGCTGTGGCTAGCACGCTCGCGCACCAGGACTGCCAGCAGAGCAGTGATTCCAGTACGCGCGACTAATCACCCGACCTCCGCTAAGGGCCAAGGCAACCGCGACATCGTACCACGAAAAACTGGTGCCAGCGTCCCAGCGACATGAAGAACGTGCGTCCCGAGGAGTGCACATAACTTAGCGGGAGGTCGTAGTAGGGATTCTGGGGCTGCCTTGGGCCGCGCGGCGTGACAGTCACATTACCGCCCGTCCCGTGACATGCCTACGCCGCCAGTACCCAGCTAGGTCGCCGCGGTACTTACTATATACGTAGGTGCGGTGTGTAGGGCTGTACCTGCCGCCGCAGTCCAGCAAATACAGTTCCACTTGGTGAGTAGCTGGCGGCCATTTGATACTCGCCACGAACTTACATATTGCGGCAGCTGCCTACAAGGTATTCCCTTCATACCAGTAAATTCTGCATTGTATCAATCCGACTGATTATTGTCCAGAGAATGCCGCAACGTGGTGTACAGCGAAAGGCGAAACAAGCAGGCTTCCTGCAACTCGCCGTTTCATTAGCACTTGACGAAGCAGCCCTTGTCCTCTTGCAACACTCGTGGAACGATCGCTACTATGACCAGGTCACAGAGGTACTGCGCCGCCACGCTCGCAAGGTGGAATCGACATTGGCCATGCCAGTCAGCATCCTCGGTAAGGACGCTGTCTCGGACTTCTGTGGCCTCTTCGCCGCTTTGGAGGATGATATGCCACTCAAGCTTCGGGCGGCCATGCGGAAGTGTAAGGCCGCGCGAGACCACCACCGCAAAGTCCACCGGCGGCTTGCTGACAAAATGGGGTTGGTGCGCGCGGAAGATAGTGTCCGCATGGCAAACCTCAAGGCAGTCACTTACGAGGTACATCTACCTCGTCTGGGCGTGGCTTATCCACCCAAAGGGTACTGGATCTACGAGCGGCCGGACACTGGTGCACTCTGGCACCAGCGCATCGTCGAAGACAAGATGCCCGACAAGCGCACGAAGCGGTTACCAATGCACCAGGAGGACATCTCACAGCTTGCGCATATCGTCCCGCCTGACCAAGGTGCCACCATCTACGACGCTACTAGTGGAGAGATCGCTGTCGTGATCATCCGCGACTTCTGTCGTGACGAGGATGTCAAGAACTGGGTAGGAGATGTTATTGTGGAGGATATCAGTAAGACTCGTTCAGTCCGGGTGAGTCCGCAAGTCTTCTGCCGTAGACAACAACACTTGCTGATGCAAGACCTTAGCTCGAGGATGCTGGTAAACTCGTCTGTGTCGGTTACACAGCGGGTTCCCGGTCCAAACCCACCTTCGACTGGGCGCGGAACCTGCTAAGCAAGAAGCATCCTCCCACCTACATTAACGGCCTTGCCTGCCGTGCATCGTCAGCGGCCGCCTTGAATTTCAACCTCGTGCGTGGGCGTCTTCCAGATGCCCTCACGCGCGATCTGGACGAGTACTTAGTCAAGAATCAGTTCTGTCGCATGGATGGACAGGGTACGATGGCGGAGAATGGAGGATCACACGGGACATATTGTATACAGAAAGGCAATGACTCTGTGGAGTTTCATAATGTCGAACTTGCCCCGCCTACTGCGTTTATGGGGGCAAACTATGCGCGGTACGTCGGCAATATATGCACCGTGTTACATATTGAATTAGTCAATAGTGCGATGCACACAGAATACCAGCCACACCGCTTCGCTTTCTCGTGGACCACAAACCGGAACCTCAAAGACGACGAAGGTGGTAATTTCTATATCGCTAGCTATGGAGTGAAGGTTTGTATGGCCCCGAATACCTTCATCGCCTGGTGTCCACAGGACGTCCATGGCACAAGCCTGATGCACCGCGACCCTTACTGTAACACTCCACCCTTCGCACAGTGGGGTATATCTGTCGCCACAAGTTCTCGTTTGGCAAGTATTTGGAAGAAGTATCAGGATGGTATCATTTCAGCAGAAGAGGCAGAGAGGCAGTGGGAAGAATCGTGCGAAGACGATGTCATTATAGACTAGGTAGTAGGAGTGTACACGAGAGCCTCATCTGTTCATGTATGTGAATGAACATTCGCGCCGATGCAACCGTATTGGCAAAGCTTCCTCATCTACTTCCTCTCCCTCGCCGCCCAAGCCTGCAAGCTCCTCGCACATACCTAACGGCTTCCTTCCCTAGCGCGAGCTTCTGCATGTCCGCGTGTGCGAGCGTGCTGGCGCGCGGCGAGCCCGCCTCGTGGTCATCCTAGGGCCCTCGCCGAGTATCTGCACTTGGTACCGCGAGAGGTCGTAGAACGCGGAGAGGAGCAGCTGCCACCGCGCATCCACCTCTCGCACGAAGTTGATGGCAGCCTACCCACGAGCACATCAGGAAGGGCTCAGCAGCATGAGTGGAGCAGGTACGTACGACGGACAAAGGATACCGAAAGCCTCTTTGCATAGCTTGAACGCCCGCGCCAAGTCCTCTCGCTGGTCTCCAGCCCTGGAGCGTCGTTGGCCACGCAGTACTGAGGTGCTTCACTGCCGTTCCCCGCCAGCTTCTCGATATCGTACTTGTTGATCGTAGCACACGCGAATATGACAGTCGGATCGCGGACGGACGCAACGGCGGGGTGGCGAGTATGGGCATGTGCTGGCGCGCCGCGCGCGTACACGGGAACGGGACGGGAGAGGGGACACGGTGACCTGGCGAGTGGGCTGAACAATGCAAATGTAAGATGGCGAGGGGATGAACGGAGCGGCCAACAAAAAGGCATGGACGAGCGGAGGAGAGGGAGTGTCACTCACTGCCTGTCTTCTCGCCCGCCATCTTCTCGCGGCTCGCCCGCCATCCGGGCCTTTCTCCATGTTGTCCGCTCGCCCTGTCGTCCACGTGTCTACGTGTTTACTCGTTCCCCCATCCTCTCACACCCTCGTCGTCTCGGCCGCTCGTCCGCCCGTCTTGCAGTACGTCCGTCTTACTGTGCACTCGCTGTGCCGTTTGCTAACTCGGGTGTCCTCTCAACCTCTCGCCGTATCGCCTAGTCGTGCTCTTGTCCGCTCGTCCACTTGTCCTCCTCTCTCTCTAGCAAAGAAACAGACGACCCTGCTTTTTCTGCGGGGTTATCTAATGTGTGCGGTGCGTCGTCGGCGCACGTTTGGTGCATCCGGGAGGCAGAGGGCGGGGCGGCGAGAGGTAGGGCAAGAAGGCGATGACGTGACGGGGAGGACCCAAGTTCACGACCAGATGACCCGATATTGTGCAGGGTCGTCTGATGTGTGTATCCTCGGCAAGTATGGCGTGCGTCCGAGAGACGGTAGGACGGCGTGCACGGACTGGAAAGGCGGTGGCACACGAACAGAGGTCCCCGCTCTTCTGCGGGGTCGTCTTGGGTGGGTGCGTCGGCCTCGGCACGCGTTTCGTGCCTCGGAGAGGCAGAGAGGGCGGGCAGCAAGGTAGGAGGGCTGGGGAAGGGCTGGAAGGCAGTGAAGAGCTAGAAGGCAGTGAAGAGCTGGAGGGCCTAAGGACGCGACCAGACGACCCCGATCTTGTAAGGGGTCGCCAGACATGCGCGGTACGTCCTCGGAACACATTGCGTGCGTCCAAGAGACGATAAGACAGTGGGGACGACGAGTTGGGAAGGTGGTAGTATGTGAACAGACAACCCCGCTGTTATGTAGGGTCGTCTTGTGTACGTGCTTCGACCTCGGCACGCGTTTGGGGCGTCCGAGGTGGTCGAGGGCGGCGCAACGAGGTAGGGGAGCTGCGGTTGGGCTGGAAGGCGGTGATGTGGCGGGCAGGCCGTAGGGCAGGGTCGTCTGACGTGCACGGAACGCCCGCGGAACGCATTGCGTGCGTCCAAGAGGCGGTAGGGGGCGGCGCAGCGGAGTGTGGCTGGTCATTTACCTGGTGGAGCCCTCTCGGCCGTTCAACCCCTCGTTTCCTGCTCTCTACCGTCAACGGTGTATCCTGGGACGTGCCGTAGTGACGCTCGTGTTGCTGGTGACCTTGGAACGCCCTGGGATGGTGGTCGGGGCCTGCGCTGGCATCCTAGCGACACCGGGCGGCAAGTTGCTGGCACGGCGCGTCGCTCGCACGCTCGCTGCGCGATGGCCAGGTTGGCGGGATGTCGTGCGCATGTATCCCGAGGGCGGGCGCCGTCGCAAGCTGGACGATGCCCGAGGAGACGGCGCGGTAGTCTTCGCGTTCGTTGTCTCCGAAGCGCCAGTGGGCATGTCAGCGAGTGTTCGACAGTCGGTGGTCTGACAAGCCCGCGGCACGCATCGGATATGTGGTTGGCGCGGCACGAGTGTCTTGACGAGTGGTGTACTGAATGGCAGGAGGCAGTGGGCGCCGCACGAAAGGATGGGCGGACAAGATGGGCGGGCGAGAGGACGAACGGACGAGAGGAAGGGAATATGGGTGCACATGCAGATGGACGGGCGAGAGGGTGAGCGGACAAGCAAACGGGCGGGCGAGCGAGCGAGAGGACGAGAGGGTGAGAGGACGAGAAGAGGTACGGGCGAGGAGGTACGGGTGAGAGGAGGTACGGGCGAGAGGACGGGTGCACGCACACTGGCAGATGGGCGAGCGAGAGGGTGGGCGGAAGAGCAATGCGGAGACAGGCGGGTACGCGAGCGAACGAGTCGGCGGACTACAGGCCATGTACGTAGGTGAGCAGGCACGGCGGCGTTATTGAACCCGCTGGCAGAGGAACCAGTGACAGATGCGAAGCAGGGTGTGATCTGAGCATATATCGTCAAATGGCGACGTATGTATGTACTGGACCCGGATGTACGCGCCTGCATGCCTTAAATATCTCCATTCGCCGCACAGCCTATCCTTCCAATTTCGTTACCCTCGACTCCCAGCAAGGCCATCGTGGCAGGGCGCGGCGCGAGTGTCTTGATGCGTAGTTTCGGTGGTAGCAAGGAAACAGTTGTGGTGAGCGGTACCAGCAGCACGTCCGAACCCGAGTCGCGCAGTGCGTCCGGCGCTTGTTGCTGGTAAGTACGGTCACGCGGGTTTGTGGCGTGGGCTGAGCGCGTTTTGATTTGGTCAAGGAGTCGACGAGGTAGTCTCCCCAGGCAGACGTAGACAATTATTTCAACCTTCGTGCCTCAGGATATCCTTGTCTGAGGCGTGGGGACCGTCGCCGGGTGCAGATGCGCGTGTGTGGCGGGGGCGGTGTGACCGCCGACGAGGACGGCATCAGTCACATCTTGGTCACATCCTCGTCCGCTCCCCGACAGAGCTCACTGGCCCGCCACCTGCACGCCGAACCACCTACCGCGTCTCATGCATACCCACCCTCTGGCAGGTCGTGCACCACCGTTCCCCTGAAGGTCATACGCGTCACCGTCCCGTGTTCCTGCAGTCCGCCCACGTACACACAGAGACCTCCTCGGCGCGACTCGAGAAAAGCTCCATGTTTGAAATACCGGTTAGTACTCAGTCCTACCCATGTCGACAAAATGTGCAGACTCATACTGGTTCCAGTTGTTGCATTCTGGACCCTATTTTCCGGTTCTGGCCGCTGTCGTGCTCCACGCCCGCCTATCCTCTCCTCTCCACCTCCAGTCTGCTCATACGGTCTGCCATCCCATAAGAGCGCTTCAGTGTAGTCGCAAACTTCGGGGGAAATTGACGTACTTGGAGGCTTGTAGGGCAACGAGAGTCGTTCCGGTGAGTCTCGTTTGTTCTGTTGCATGTTTGTTCGAGCTTGATGAGATACTAGCATACTCAACAGGCTCCTACGTATACTGCGAGCCAGCCTACCATACATGTATCCCAAGATTGCAATCACATCTACCGTCACAACACCAGGAGGCACGAGGTTCGTTTGTCACCCCGGCTGGAGGCGTGATACTGACGGACACGGTTGCTTGATGAATGGTACGCGCGCTTCTTCTCCATCCCGTCAACCTCGCACTCAAAGACTCCCCGTATGACATCCATCCTGCACGCAGAATCACTGCGTATCTCAGGACTAGCTACGCACGGAAGGTCTGCTACGTACCTCTGATGACGCTCGATTCTCGCCCCCACTACTCCCCCGTCTCAGGCGACGGGCTGGTGCTGGCACACCGGGACGCCGCCGCTTCTCTTCAACCTTGCGGTCTCTTCGAGCTCTCGCGTTCGTCTTCCGGGTCATCAATACGCACCAATTCATCTACGCTCCCGCTGCCGTTGAACGTTGATCCTCGCATCTCCACGTCTCGCGCTGATCACGACTACTGATAAACATGTCAGCCTTCGGAACATCCGCGTCCTCCGGTGCTCTCGCAGGAAGAGCATCATACGGTCGTCAGATTCCGTTCTGCATCTTCGGAGCCTCGACTATCTGCACGTCGCGCGCAGAGCGGGACACCGTCTCCTGTACGTCACGATACCATCTGTGGGCGAGCGTCGTGCGTATGCTCCCTTAGTTGGACGCAGTGCGGCTGTCTCATGGGGCGTAGGCCGTGCATCAGGTCAAACCGCCAACACGAACACAAATAAGCGAAGTATCTCTCCGCTCTCGTCTGGCTGGACTGATCGCTACGATACAGCGTGGATCTTATACCCTACTCCGTACCCCGCATATACCGAACTTGTATGCCACCCAGAGGTCTCGCGAGGTTGTCTCCGCCCAACGAGTCTCAACACGAACGTCACGCCTGGCGAGAATCTCTTGCGGCTCATGCTTCCCGTTTGCCCTCTCGTACCCGACCCACAGCCAGGCTTCCGACCGATACACGAGCCCCATGGAGGGAACGCGTGTTCCGTCGACCGGCCACGTTCGTCGATCGCTGGGGATCCGTCACTCGCGAAGGACGTCTACGCCGTGGGCTGCCATTCCGCGGCTCTTGTCGCACGGCATAGAACTCCACCCTCGCCATCGGATGTGTATCTAGAACCGCGGACTCGTGTCCGTACTGCCTTTCTGCCGTGTGCGCACCGACCATGTTATGTTCTTTGTCGTACTAGTTGCGGCGATGCTCCGTGAATGTAAAATTGTTACGTTGCATCTATAGAAACCGCCGGATTGTACTACAGCAAGGAATTTGATCGGACCGCAGGTGATATCGACACCCTCCGCCCTCGTACTTGCTCATGCACTCATGCCTCATACGCTGTACGGCTCGATATAAACATTCTCCCGCAGATAGGTGTCCCCGGCGGAGTGCGCCGCGATACACGTATACGACTGGGAGATCTTCGTTCCATCGTAACAGTCGGAACTCGACATGCCTGGTAGGGAGTCGTCAACCGCGCAGGCGAGTCTAGAGGGCTTCAGCATCTCATCGTCCTCCGCCTTCGTGTGCGTTTTTCTCACCTCTTACTCTCATGGCTGAGAGTGACAACTGACCGATACGTCCTCTGCGGGGCTACACCGTACGAGTGAAGCGCATTGAATAGATATGATGATCATACACTGGCAGTCACACGCGGCGAGCCCTGCACGTTCACGAACGACCTCGCAAACATATTGTTCATCCTGTCCCCGTGTGCCACCCATAGTCCCGAATCCTAGTCCCACACGCCCTTTCTTCTTCCAGTCGGAGTCCCAGCGGCCCAAACGTTCTCGAACCGTGGCCTTCCGGCCGACCTTACGCAACGTGCAAGTGACGGTGCAACAGCGCCATCTCCAACCCTGGTCTCGACGTTCAAACGTTCAATAACGATGTACAGTAAGTAAGGTCTTCCAAATCCTCACAGCACTCAGCGCTCACATTGTCGAGATCTACACCTCGCTCATCCGTGCTCGCTTCGAGGAGCTGTACAACAACCTCTTCCGAGTCTTCCCTAGTACCGCCTTCGAGCCCGGCGTCGAGAAGGTCCTCCGTGACTTCCAAGACAAGTTGACAATAGCCAAGTCCACTAGAGCGGTTCAGCTCCCATCCTGCGGTATGGCCCGGGTCTTCCTCAAGGCGTGTGCAAGTTCAGCGCTGAGCAACAAGGCCAGGCTGCGCGGGCGGGTGGGTACACGAGCGAGGCGAGTGGGTGGGCAGGCCGACGAGCAGGCAAGCTGGCAAGCGGGTGCTGCGAGTGGACGAGCAGGAGAGCAGGAGAGCGTGCAAGGTGAATGCTGAGCCCACAAACATGACCGACGAATGGACCGCACCCCTGAGAACGCAACACACGATAACGGCGGGCACGTAGGGCGAATGCCTTACGCGCAAACGCAGCCGACGGGCGGAGCGTGGGCACGGGCGCGAGGGCGGGCGGGCAAGGCGGTGGACTGGCGGATGGGTGGGTACAAGACGGACTGGCGGGCAGGCAGATGGGCTCCTCTCCGTACGTGAACTGTCCCTAGAATGCTGACCAACTAATCATATGCACCAGGATTCACTCCCGCCAAACCCGTTCCCGCCGCGGCAGGCCTCTTGAACAAGCCAACACCGCTCGCACTGGGCCTCCACAAGCGGGACTCGTTCTCGTTCAGCTTCGCTCAGCCCACCGCCCGGTCCACGCCCGCCTCGCCAAGAAAGGCAAGGGAAAGGAAAAGGCGCACTCCGCCCTGCTCATCCTATCCACTACGAGCTCCACCTCGAGCTCAGACGCGAAGCCTGTCGTCTGCGATCGGGTGGCCGCCGAAGACGAGTGCGCACTCGGACGGGACCCAGCTCAACCCGTCGCTCTTGTCACTCTCGCTCGCCCTCCAGAAGCCAAACATGCCCATGCACTCACGCCCTGGCACCAGCATGGACTTCCATCCCAAGGCTGTCGCGACGAGAGGCGGGTTGCTCTGCACTAGCGGGTATACAGGCGGGCGACGGTGCGGGCAGCGAAGGCGAGCGCACAGGGTGAATGTCCGGCATGCAAGCTCGGCCGACAAACGGATCGCGCGCACGTAAGCTGAGGACGGGAGACGGCGACGATGGTAGGCAGGGCTAGGGCGTGCGCAACACGCCAACCGCGAGCGCACAAGGCCAGTGCCCCACGTACAAACACAGCCGACGAGCGCGCCGGGAGCTATACCTTCCCGCCAGTCGAGCCACACATGCGCCGCCCGGAGCAGGTTAGGAGGGCGCCGTCCCCCGTGGAGTACGACAGCCGGATCTACCCAGGATCGGAGGCTGCGTCGCCTGCGCCGTTCAATGTTGGTCGTCGGTTCTCGGTAAGCGCCGTTCGCATGGCGTCGCGCTCGCCCCCGGAGCCCCCGCACGCGCGCTTGACACTCGCTGTGCACCCTACGGCACGGGAGCGCAAGCTCTCTGGACCGGGTTACCCCCGCCGCCGTTGGCGCATCCAGGGGCATATGGGAGGGATAGGGATAGGCAAGTCCGTGCGCCGAAGGCGACAACGAGCTCGTCGCAGTCGATGTCGCGCGGGTCCGTGGCTGTGACGCACTTACACCCGTCCAACGAGGATTCTAGCCCGGAGTGACGCCGCTGCGACGGTCGACCGCATATCCCCGTCGTGCAGAGCGGAGGGGCTCACCTGGATCCGGCGACGAGCGGGCTGATGGCGCACCCACCACCGACGAAACATGACCAGGCGTACCAGAGCCCATTGGCGAACTACGCACGGCCACCCTTAGACGACCCCTGACGGACGCGTGGAGCCCGGGCACGAACCAAACGCGACCGACACGAAGGTGAGTCCATCCGCCTGCCCGACCACTTGCTCGTTCGCTCTCGCGCCCGTACGCCCGTTCACCGGCTCATTCGCCTGTTATCTCGCCTGTACCTACATCCTCTCGCTGCTCACTCTAGGCGTGCCTGCTCACACATCCTGACCTGCACGTCTATCCAAAAACAAGTCTGTAGATCTCGCAAACAGAAGTGTTTGTAGCTAAGCAGTACGTAGTACGGTATTCACCTCGCAATGTTATGTTATCTATTGGTGTAATATACATGAATGGCTGCTCTGCTGAAGGTTTGTAATTCACCGCAGAGACCGAAATGCGTTAGACAGTGAGGTGAATTAGGCACAAGTTAGGTGGGCTAGACGGGTTAGGACAAGTTAGACGCGGTGACACTTTCCTGATCGGGCCGCAGCGTTGCATTTGCATCTGGTCCCGCGTACAACGGGCCTATCCTAGCATTCCCCGAGCTGCCACGAAATCTCCGTCACACAATTGTGCTCGTTGTCCCAGGCCCAATGCCTGCATCGGCAAGATATCAAACTCCAGGTGAGGCTCGTACAGTGTGTAATCTTTTACCACTTACATACGCTGATCTCTGCCCTGCAAAGGGGGTACGAGCCTCTTCTCCCTGCAAGTGTGGCGACATCGTATGAAGGAATGGACGAAGGTGTTTCGTGCGAGCTAGCGGTATGTCTGAGCCGGCCTCGATGGATAACAATCTTACATGACTAGGCCCTCCCCCAGGAAGGCTTCCACAACGGGCTCGACAGTGCCGGTGAAGACTGGCATCCAGTTGAACAACGAGATCGACTTCCGGCCATCCACATACCGGAGGTACGCGTGTTGCCTTTCGCAGTGTTCGGAAGGGTTCATGACGAGCATCCTCGTCAACGCATGCAGCGACACTTGTCCACGTCTCCCGCACTAAGTCATCGAGCATATTCTGGAAGTTCTCTGGAATGATCTTCCGGCACTTCACGGTGTTGCCTTGTTTGCCATGCTTGGTACCACACTGCACGCCGCCTCTTCCCTTCAGCAAATACTAGTAGGCCCCGCGTCTTCACGCGCAAGAAATCCCTCGAGGGATATGCACGTATGCTCGTTCCGGAGCGAAACAGACCGTACTTCCATGGTGGCTTCAAGGAACTGGAACTGGTGGACGACCCCGCGAAACCATTCATATACGCCTGGGCAATCCACATTCCCTTACGCTTCCTCTCGGAAATAGAGTGCCTCACACTACGGCAACTCGATTGGCTGACTAATGGACCGCATCCCTTTTTCTTCGGACGTCTCTCCCACTGCACGAGCGTACTGTATCTAGCCCTCCATAATTGCCGCTTTCGCAGCGCATCAGAGTGGGACCGAGGGCGTGATCGCAAGAGGCGTTTACACCTGCATCATCGGCGGGCGGAGTGCGTGGACTCGGGACACGGATTGGCAGCGCTATACACGAACATACACGTCTCCAGCTCAGAAGCATGTTCGATCGGATATCCGCCACGACGCTCAGTGGTCGAAACAACCACGGGCACGCCAGGCTGTCCGGTGAGCGGGAGTTGACGTTCGTAAGTGTATAACCGTGCCATGAGAACCAAATGGCACGAACCCATGCATCCGGTGTCATCCTCGAGCGAGCGTCGAGTTCCGTCCGTCTACGCATCATCTTCGCTGTAATAGAAGCATGACGAATCCTCTCTATCGCGCGCACCTCATTCGTCGTCAGCCAACGGGTGACCCAAGTGGATTGAATGCGTACAGATACCATCATCGCTGGGCCTCAGCTGGCGGTTCATCGCATACGAACGCATCAGTGCATTGGGTTTCTACGCCCTTTGTCGGCGATACTGACGAACAGCACCAATCGAACATTCAAACCGTCCAGTCTTAGCAGAAATCCTGAACACCGCCTCCGAGTGAGAGGTGGTCTAGAAGACAGCGTCACGAAACTCACCAGGCTGCGTAGACCAGACTCGACCGTTATGATCTCACCCACTCTGCACGAGGGATGGTCAGCTGTTGAGGGAGGACCGTCGTACTTTGGATCGGAGCACGAGCAATGTATGGGACGTGCGGTCCTCCACTAGATGGCATCCGTTCGAGAGTACGCCAAGACGCTTGCGCCCTGATCAGCTGGCGAGAACAGACATCGAGGGTGCGAGCCCGCAGTCGCGCGGGAGATGATGACCTGTTCGTGGTGCATCTGTAGAGTACAGCCTTACCCCAGAAGAGCCAGCGCGAAACGCACGTTGCGTCACGGGTGGATCATACTCATGTCCGTCCGCCTCCTCAGCGTTGGCAAGCCGCAAGTTCGTACTGCGCTTGGATCGAAATTGAAAGGCTACAGTACGCGGCTGGCCGACGAGTGAGCGAGAGCGCGCTACTTGATTGAAATACATACAACGAGCGTTAGGAGGTCGCATACGGGTCTTGGGACGGGCGGACGTACCACTGCTAATGCCGACGTCGTTTCCATGCCCCTTGCCGCTTGCGTGGACCGGAGGACCTAACAGTGAGAAGAGCGGCGACGAACGAGTGATGTCCCTGCACGCAAAGACCGAACCATTTTCTTTTACTGAGCGACGGTGAATCATTCGACACAAGTTGAATTAACTCATCAATGAACAACTTACCTCCGGTATGTCTGATAGGACACGTAGCCTGTTCCAGCAATTCTCCTTCGGCTTCTGTCCAGTGGGTAGGGGCCTCAAGGTCGTACCACGCTTACAGCTCAGGCAGAGAGACTGTACGTAGTCCATCAAGTCTGGACTGAGAAGCACGAGTGTAACAGGGTACGGACAGCAGGGTTCGCGCATTCCAGTGTCGGTACCGTACATCGTCCCAGAAAGCTCGGAAAGGCATGCGTTGCGTAGCCACGATGAAGTAGAGTGGTGGCGATAACCGGAGGGAAAATGACGTGTCCGCTCGACAGGCTGGTTAGGGAGGACGCAGTTCAGCGGTTCGCTGCCAGCGACGGAGGGGAGTGTCGTTGTCGTCGCGGTCATCTACTAGTAGGAGAAAGAGTGAGTGTAAGAGCGTAGGCGGAACGTACGGATTCGCACACGCAGGTTCAGCACCAAAGCTGTCATTCTTACACGCTCACAGTGGAAGTCTACGACTCCGAGCTTGGAGTCCTGCAGAGCATGCGTGGGTGAGATGGATTGGAGATGGACAAACGGAGGAGAGAAGCGCTTAGCGCGCCTGTGGCGGCGGCGCAGGATCACTCTGTCAGTCAGGATGTCACGTCGCATCCGTCCCGCCCTCGCCCTCGCTCGCGTCCGCTCCCAAACATATCTAAGTAGCCTGTGCTTGTACTCTCTTGCTTACTGGCCCGCCACCCGCCCGCAGCGCCGACGACGACATCGGCCACTTCTCATTGCATGCGTACCCGCCCTTTCGCGATACCCGTTCCCCTGACTCGGAAGGCCACAGTACCCTGCAGTCTGAAGATCTGACCAACATGCAAAGGCCGAAAAGCTCCATAGTCAGCTCTTCCCAGGTCTCATATATATGTATACAGTGTGCAGATTCTTACACACCCCTTCTACAATCTAGTCGTCCAACGCGTCTCGGGCCCCATCCTCCGTTCCGGCGCTGGCCGCTGTCTTATTGCGTATGCTCGAGCCATTCATCGAGCGAAGGAACCCGATCCTAAGAATCATGGACGTCTCAGGGTATGGACACAAGGACGTGGGGACATACGACATGTAATACCGTAATCTTCCATGAAAGCGAGCAAGCGAGCAACTTGTGACGCCGAGACGACAGGGCAGACTCGCGAGCGATGCGTGCACTCGACAGGCTGGTCGGCGAGGGCGCAGATCGCTGCCAGTTGGCGGCCGCGCAGGGAGGTGTCATCTAGTAAGTTTAGGAAGAAATAGTCAGAGAGTACGCGGAGACGGGGATGACATGCAGATGCAGACATACGACTGTTGCTACAGCCAGCATTGATCCTACGCCCTTCGTCCAGTGTGGGAGCCCAAGAGCTTCAAGTCCTGCAGAGCACTGCTGACCGTGAGATGGGCCAGCTAGGCAGAGGGGAGACCGCCGAGTGATGCGTCGCGTGCACCTGGCTGGCCGGCCGAGTTCAGTGAGATAGGCTACCAGCATAAGAGGGTGGTGTCCACGGCCGACGGCAGTCCCAAGGCTGGCGCCCTCACGCGCACGCCGTGGCGGGTGTCGACAGGCAGTGTGGCGACTTGCACTGGAGGCGGCGCGCGAAAGGTTCTTGACGCTGTGTAGTCTCTGGGCGTCAGCGCTTACAGAGCTTGCTATGACTTTTCGTGAGATCCGCGGCCGGATGATTCGTGTCTAACTCGTCGGCGCGCAAGGCTGTGAGCACTCGGTGTGCTCGCGCTGGCTACGTGCCTTACTACGGACGCCGTGTACTCCGCAGTGTAACCGTCTGAGTCCTTCAATAAAGACCCCATGACGGCCGTAGGACGTAGGATGCACCTCGTCAGTGCTTGACAACTGTTCGGGTCTCAGGCTTGTGGTAATCAGCGATTGTGCGGTACGTACTGACGGTCGCATCTTCATGACCGTCATATCCGCGTTACTAACGTCTGAATTATACTGCTTTAGGGGCAAGTTCGTTTGCAGTGGTGCTCGCAATCTGTCGAGGACTTACAGAATCGAACAATGAGAAAGTGTGTCATTTATCGCAGCCATCTCGCCGAGACGACTCGGAGTCGATCTCTCGTATAACCCTTGAGCGTCCCGGGCATTCGGTCGGCGAACATCTGACCTGCAAGGGGGTGTAAGATTGCTTCCAGCTCTCGTTGTCAGCCTCGTGTCCCTGCACATACTAGTACGCTTAGTCTGCGGCTGCCTGCCTTAAGTCATTAGGTGAGCTCGGTCTCTCAACTTCCATGGCATACAAGCGCATACGTTCGTCCCTTATGCCTCGCGAACCTCCCGACGGGTCGTCGGCGGCCGACTCATCTGCAAGGCAGACAACTCG